GCCTTTAAAGGTGGTGTCTGCTTTCTGCCTCACAACTCGCATAGTGTCTGTCTTTTCCGTCCCTTCAGAAACTCTATTTATCCATTTATTATGCAGCTCAATTTCACATAATAGGCTCATCTTTCCACAGGACAGAAAAGCTGGCAGAGTGTTCAGAGTTCTTCTCCCTTTGGTAAGCAGAAGGGGCCAGAATAAAGTTAGACTTTTCCACTGATCAGGATTATGCATACCCTTTTAAAAACAGGAATTGTCAGTTTGGGGTTTAAATAACTCTCCCCAGCCCCAACAGAGAAAGTTAGGCTAAAGCAGTGTGAGTGTGAGCAGTCACATGAAAAAGTGGCAGTGAAGCTGAGATCTGAGGAGGAGCAGGTAGAGGTGGAGATGAGCTTGTGGGGAGGTGCTCCAGGCAGAATGAGCAGCACATGCAAAGGCCCTAAAGTGGACTACAACAGGCTTATTCAAGACATTAAAGGAAGACAAGCAGGAATGAAGGCACTGGGAGGCAAAATGAGGTTAGGGTGACTATCCTTAGGGCAGGGTGATGATAAAACATTAAAGCTTGTTAAGCAAGTAACAGGCAAGTTTTAATTTACATTATAAAACAGAACATTCTGCCATGGTGAGATCATATTCACATGGACCAGGATGTCTATAATAAAAAAAGATAAGAAAAAAGGAAAAGAAAAAGTGTTGGCAAGAAAGTAAAGAATCTAGAGTTCTGGTGGAATGTAGTGGGGGTGAAGTTGCTCAAAAAAAAAAAAAAAAGTGGATAATGCCTCAAAATGTTAAACATAAATTAACATATGACAAAGCATTTCAGCTTCTTGGTATGTTCCTGCAGAAACCGAAAAATCTGTATTCAAACAGACACTTATACACAAGTGTTCAAAGCAGCACTATTCACAATTGCCAAAAGATGAAAACCACCCAAATGTCTACCAAATACTGCATGAACAAATGCCAGCATAACCATATAATGCAATCGTATTCAGCTATAAAAATACAAAAAGGAACTGAGTATTGATAGGTGCTATAACATGGACAGATCTCAGGCTCATCAGGTTAAGTGAGGAAAAACTAAATACAAAGATCACAAGTTGTACTGAAATGAAATATTCAGATTAGGGAATTCTAGAGAGACAAAAAGTAGTTCCTAGGGAATTGGGGGACAAAGAACACAGGGAGTGGTTGTTTCATGGGTAGTTTTTCTTGGGGTGGCAAAAATACTTTGGAACTCAGAGGTGATGTTCACACAGCATTTGAATGTGTGAAGTGCCACTGAATGACACACAGTAAGATGGTTAATTTTTTGGTGCATAACATTTACCTCAATGAAAATAAGCTTATTTAGACTTTCATAGAGTGAGTTGGAGGTAGCAAGAATGGAAAAGAGGGCCATGGGGAAGGTGCAGAGAGCCAAGTGAGTAATGACAGCAACTTGGGTTAGGGTAGGGAAGAGGGGATCTCAGGAGTGGCGCTGCTTGGGAAATATCTATGTGGAGAATCGCAGAGGCAACTGGATTTAAGAAAGAGAGAGAACACAGAGCATGGGGCAGTCCCAGAAGGAATGCTTTTACAGCTTCCTGTGGATCTCACAGCAGAGGATGACCCAGGTTGAGAGGGGGAAGAACAAACACAAGCAAACAGCACAAGGCAGGGAGAGGTTTGATGAAAACACTCCAATTTTGAAATATCAGTCCAAACAATGGAGTCATTTAACAGTAATCTGAGTGGAAAGTAAGGCAAAGAAGGTTTGTATTTTTAGGCTAGGGGATGACTGGATGTGCTTTAGGCTCAAGGAGAAGGACCCATTGTTTGGGGAGGCAGAACTGAGGCCACGCCTATTTGATACAACCAAATCAAGAGTAAGATGATGCCTCCTTCTGAGATCAGAGAAGGTGATGTCTGAGAGGAATTCTCATGTGAAAGGTATAAAGCTGTAGGACTTCCACACAAATGTGAGGGCAGGAATGAAGGGCAGCTGTGGAGTGGTGTGGCAGAAGAAAGCAGAGGGCTAAAGAATGTGAAAATGTCTTGGATCTGATTCTGAGGAGCATGTAACAGAGAATAAACTGGGTCTGGATAAAGGATTGCCAAGGAGCCCTGAAAGTCAAGACCTTAACTTTGTAGGGGAGCCAAGCCTCTTGTTACGTAATTTTGTTTTTTTTTTCTAAAAGCACTAGGCTGAAGTAAGAACTAAGGCAGTAATCCTGGGAGGTATATTGTTACATAAAGTATTTTATTCAAGCAACACCCAGAAATAGAATGGGAATAGTGTGAAATAGACGTTTTATGAGAAATAGGATTTGAAAGCCTTCATATGTAAGCTCCCCTTCAAAGGAAATGTTACTTAAAACCACATTGGATAATTAACTATTCATTTCATTAGCCAGAAGGAATTGTTTGTATACTTGGAAGTGTACTTATGTGATATAAATGATAATAAAATAAAGATAGCATTTTATATGAAATCTATATATATGCTTTAGGAACCTGATTTTTACATTAGTGATAACACTAAAAAAACTCCTGAAATATGTAATAAAATTGTACTACTTGCAAGTAAAATATACTAGAAAACTGTTGAAGTAATTAAGCACTTATTTTGGAGAAATCAGTTATGCTTCATCTGCTACTTTAAATATGACATATATTGTGATAAGCTATACCTAAGTGATTATGGTTGCAGATGATACTGTGGAAATTTAATTCTTTCAACAAACATGCAAGGGTCTGAAGATTAAAGGATAGACAAAGTTTTAGGCATAGCACTCAAAAAGGAGTAGGAAATAGTTCCTGCTCTTAGAAAGTGGAAGTCCAGTGGAGGCTGGAGGCCTTCTCATGAAGATGCAGCTAAGCTCCAGGTAAAGTCAACTAGAAGTTCACGACAGGTGGAGAAGCTGAGCGTAAGCCCACGGCTTTTTTTTTTTTTAAAGAAATAAGTTTATTTTTACATCAATTTGTGCATTTTTTCATCTCAGTTGTAATCCTCATGTATTTCCCATCACCAAATCACCCATGTGCCATCACCATAGCCCAGTGCATGTCCCTTCCCCCACTGTTTTTGATCCCATTCCCATTCCACCCCATAAAATGTCTGATATATAGCTGTTCATTATAATTGCTATTTTCTTGCCTGGTCCATTATACTCCTGCTATGAGTGAAACCATCTGGTATTTTTCCTTTTCTTTCTGGCTTAAAGCATGATCTTTTCCAGCTCCATCCATGTTGCTGCAAAAGGCATGTGTTTGTTTTTTTTTGGTTGCTGAGTAATATTCCATTGAGTATATGTACCATATCTTTTTAATCCAGTCTTCCACTTTTAAGCACACAGCTTTTTTTTTTTTTATCAGATATAGGAGTGGGGCCACTGAGGACCTGGTAAAGGGAGAAGATGTATTTGATACTTGCTGGTGTGAAAGGCGAGGTTATTTCTCTTAAGAGCAGAAGCAAATCTACAAGAAAATCAAAAAGCATGAACCTTCAGCTCTGAGAAGAAAGGAAATCCTGTTATTTGCAACATGGATGAAACTGCAGGACATTACGGTGACAGAAACAAGAGAAAGACAATATGACAGTATCACCTATCTGAGGGGTCACTTAAAGAAGTCAAACTCACAGCAGCAGAGGAGGAAGTCGTTGCGGGGGTAGAAGAAAGGCCTTATGCTGTTTGCCGTGAATCTGAAATTCAACCAAATTGGTAGGCTAAGTTTATTATGACTTATAGAGGATTATGAAGAAATCCAACCCTAGGTTGAATCAACTTCTAGAATCTCAGGAAGTGAAACAGAAAGGAAGAGTGAGATAAGCCCTGGGGATCAGTCCCATTATTCACTTACATTCAGTGAGGGAAGGGACCATTCTCTTTAATTCACCCTGTATACTTAGTAGGGTTGTTTACCAAATGAATGATGGTCTGGAGGAGTCTAGAACCAGTTTGGGGGTCACTGATTCAGTAGAGGCAAGACAGAGCTTGGAACTAGTCACAACAAAAAAAGAAAGGATAACATGGGTGCAGGTGATGTGGCTTGTTCAGAGGCTTCTGCCTTTGGAATTGACAGGATATAAAATGAGGAAGCCCAAGCCAGGTCTGAGCCTGGAATCAGACTTTGGTTTTTCAGTCCTAGCTTTTTTTTTTTTTTTTTTGCATTCAAATACAGTGTCCTACCATCCCAATCATATATTGAAAAAGGAAGTAAGGACAGAACTTTAAGGCACACATTGACAAATGGGAAAGAGACAATTACTTCTTGGGGCAAGAAAAACAAATCAGATATGACAATGGTGTGTAGCCTTTCAAAGATCTTATCCCAAGTATATAACTTCTTACTAGGGTAAATGGAGCATCAATCAAAATGTTAGTAGATGGGCAATAATGCTTTTTTTTTTTTTTAAATGTTAAGAAACACTGGATTAAAGGTGGAGAAGAGGCCCTGAGGAGTAGGCTAGAACTGATGAGGCAGGTTGGAGAAACAACACTTAAGATTTTTCTAGTTTCCTCTTTAGATTGATTCATGCACAGTACACAATTTCACTATTAAAATAGACCATCATTTTACACAGGTACTCATAGTCAGAGATATATATCTTTTAGGTTAAGATTCCTTTTTATGACAAATCAGAAAAAATTCTGACTACGGTATTGCATGTCAGCCAGGAAAATCACCATTCCTCTATACAGAAATAGACCCATAGGGACACAAATGAGACTGGACTGGTCTGCTTTGATTTGATTATTCTACCATATATATATTATAATCATTTCAGCAGCCCTTTACTCAGGGAGATGAGCTCAAGTGATATTTGAGGATCTCTTTCCACATACCAATCATAAACCTAAGCAAATTTCACAAAGTCTTCCAAATAAATATATCAAGTAGGTTTAGTTGAACATTCAAATTAAATCAAGACATTGAGGAAGAAAAGGTACAATATATACTCCAAAATTTCTGAGATAAATGCATCTGAGAAGCAGAGAAACATATAACATGAAGACTAGTATGAGTCTGAACCTGGTTTTATTAGGGCCAGAAATAGGAAATTTCCTTTTCTAGCTATATAAAAATCATCTGGAACACCCTCTGATCTTAATACTTGATAAGCAGAGTGAGTTAGAGGCATTAAGAGACTTTAGTGAACAAGACAGCATTGAGAGGGTCTCTCTCCAGGGAGGAATTTGTGTATTTAACCAGATACGTACCTGAGTGCAAAAAGAACGAATGCTGATCACTATGATAAAGTTTCCAATAGCATTTTTTCCTTTTAAGCAACACCACCACCAACAAATGCTTAAACAACATTACATACAGTGCTTGGGAAAGAAGACATGGGGTAACTTGGAGATCAAAACTTCAAAAACCTGCATGTCATATTTCATAGGAACTGCAAAAGATAAATTTATGTTCTGATTCAGATACAAGCATCCTATTATTTCCCCCTAAAATTCAGGATAGCGGAAAAGACTGTAAAAGACTGTAAAAGACACAATATCCATTTCTAAATCTTTGAGCAGACATCAGTATTTTAAAGATCTGAGTTTTGTGATCATTTTTTAGAAAACACCAACCTCCCTCCTAACTCATTCCCTCCTCATCAAAAGGATAGTCGCATAACACACAAGTTCTCAACTTTATGGGAAAATCCTGGCATTCCTGGAGACATTTTTCCTGGGAAAACAGGAAATCATCCATTCTCCCAGCCATTAGAGAAGAACCAACAATCCACTTTAGATGGTCAGGAAGGGTAGCTGTGTTGCACATTTTTAATATTTGCTTTTAATTTTGTTTCATTCCATTAAATCTTGCTGCATATTCAAGATGGGTCGAGAAGTCCCTGAAGTTGACATTGATGCTGCAAGGAGGATTTTGGTTTGGCAAGAGCCCTGGTAGGTTGGCAAGTGACTGCAATTTGCCTTGGGGCACAAGAGGGGGCATATTCACAAATAACTAGAACCAAAGAAAGTCTGTTCATACAGTTTATTTCACTAGGCTGCAAATTTATACACAGTAGAAGGGGTTTCCTGATAGACACATGTACTTGACTTCCTGTACTGCTGAAGAACCAATTTTTTTTTTACATTATATTGTAATACCCTATCATTAAAACATTATTCAATGAAATTTTTCCAACTACATATAAACGGAGATTTACCACACACACGGTGCAAGAATGTCTTTATAACATATTTGAATCACAAAATGTGAATCTAAAATACATCACTGTAATTAGAACACTACTTTAAAATTACAATGCCCCATGTTGTATTAGCCAGATCTGATTCATCTCTGGAGACATCACAAAGCGGTTTGGAGGATAGCTTCTTGGATAACCAGCAGCAGCAGCAGCAGCAGCAGCTTTTAATGATGATTTCAAAAGAAATCTTTAAGAATCAAACTTTTGAATTTAAAAATCTTCATGTGTTCAATATTCTCATAATCAAAGTGGGACATTTTAGAATTTATAGTCTCTAGAACAAGGAGATTAAACCCAACCCTCTCATAGCTGAAAGGCTGGGGTGGTAATACTAGGTTTCGTAGAAACCTAAGAAAAGCATTGTATGGAGAGCAGAAATGAGTTAAAAAGAAACAAACTTTGAGCTTCTTGGATTCCTCTGTGCCTCTCCACCTCTGTCAAACACAGAGAAAGAATACTGCATTACATAAAGGCATGTTTCCACCAGACGATGTGCTAAAGAAAATGTCTGTAAACAAGTCAGAGAGAGAGTGATTTCTTCATTTTCCCATTTTGTGGAGTAGGGCAGTGGGATGGTATCAGTTAAATTAGAAATAGAATTCCTTAGTCAGAGAACCACTTCATTACACACCAGACAGCTAGGGATAATTGCTGAAAATTTCTTACGTGTTTCCTTTTCTTTCCCCTACAGTCTGAGAACGTTTGAAAGTTCAATAAATAGTAGAAAAATAATCCTTTACTTAGAAATTTTGAGATGCATCATTTAGAGCTCAACATGAGTTCCATACAGCAATGTGGTAGTGAGGTACTGCTCAGAAACCAAGTGACATCTCTGGAGCACCCCTTTTATACAACGGGCCACACGCCCAGTCTCAACTGAGCAGATTTCTCTCTTTCAGTTAAAGAGAGCTGAATGTTTCTGGCTCCTGGGAACATTCCTCTGGCGCAGTTTCACCAGGGTTCCCAGTGTTTCATTCTAAGCTTGGAGGTTTGCTTTCTGTTGCACTTGCTTAGTATTATGGCAGGTTTGCTCCTCAGGCTTACTCCCCCTCCATTTCACAACCAGCTTGCAGCTTCACTAAAGTGATTCTGTTGCCGTTTCTCTGGTTTTTAAACACGGTGACAGGCAGGAAATGAGTTAAACCAACTCAGGGGTCTCTGTGGTGGGCGTCATGCTGGCTCTTTTCTCCTCCAGAACATTCTGCATCTCCCGGATCCTGACTCCCCCGGAGGTGAGGAGGTTGTTAGCACTCTGCGTCGACAGTGTGCACTGTCACGGCCGCCTGTAAGTGGTGGCTGTGATGAAGTGTGGGGTGGTGGAGGCGGTAGTGGTGGAACTTGTGACTTAGTAGAGCCGCAGTCTGAGGCGGGGTGTCCAGGTCCAAGTCCTCATCATGGTTTCCCACATCGACCCCTGCTGACAAGGGGTCATTGTTGCCAGGGGGATTCTCACTATCTTCCTGTGGACTCATGGTGCTGTAACCTAGAACATGAACAAAACAAGCCACTGAGAGCTTCCAGACGCAGGCGGGAGATGTCACATAAGATTTCTAGGGCAGAGGGAGGCAATTCCTATCTTCATAGGTGCAAGTGTTTGCAGACAGTCAGCAGATGATGAAGAGACTTATTTTTACAGAGATCGTTTGTGAGCTTTTTTTTTTGGTTCCTCAAGCAATCACACAGTAAGGACTCACTTCAGACAACTGAGGTAAGGGGAAAAAAATTCTCGAGAACTCTTTGCCCAATACCCCAAACAAACAAAACTAAAATGTTCCCACAGCTGGCTATAGATAAGCACCGCTGCCCTTCAGAACTATACCCTCCTATACTTTTCCCTGCCATGATTATTTTTTATTTGAAAAGAATTGGAAACACGATAGCTTCAAGTAAAAGATCCTAATAGAACTCAGATCAGCTGTGTGGGATGGGGGTGAAAGTCGGGGCTTCTCGATGCCTAAACATGATGTCACAAGTGAGAAGACCACCCACTGCCATGCCCTCTGCACCTGGTTCCAAGGCAGCACCAGTGTTGGGTAATCCCTGTGTGCCAACAAAGCATGAATTTTCATATCCATTTTACAGGTGAAGGAAGCAATCAGAGAGGTTGGTGCACTTGCCTAAAGTTCCAGTACCCGATGAAACACTAACTCTACATATACCCACAGTGTGCTCACAAAGGAATCAACTATTCTCTGTGTCAGCTGGTTCACAGTATTTAAAGATTAATTTCTATTTCGTATTCTGAGTAATAAATGTTTCAAAAGAAAATGCCCTTGCTGATCAAAGGATTCCATTCCAAGAACCTTGGCATGTTTTTAAATATTGCAAAAAACCTCCCTTAATATTTTTGAGAAGTGACAGCTCATTAATATTTCCGCTGCATCTACAGTTAGCATCAATCAGCACTCACTTGTGGGTAGTGCTAGTCACATTTGTGGCTGCAAAATTGATGTGGCTGCATCCAGCCAAGCAGGCATAGTTTGTGGTTGAAAATGTATGTTCCATACAACAATGAGAAAGGCAATTCTCTGATCTCAATGAAACATTTCTCGAATGACAGAATTACTTAAGTCAGACCAGCTCAACAAATATTTACCAGGCACCTACTCTGTACAAAAGGCAGTGTGCTGGGCATTGAGGGGGGTTGAGATTAAAAACCTGCTAATAACAGGTCAAGACACACAAGCTAGCACAGAGGCGCTAGGAAAACCAAGCCGAGGACCAGGCTTAGGATAGTAGAGGAGGTGACATGTAAGGGGATCTCCTCATGGGAGAGAACTGTTCACTAGGTGAAGTAAGGGGTTAGGAGATACTGCTGGCAGGGAGGGGAGAGCATGATGACATGGCAGCCTGAGGCTCTAGGGGGGCTCTGGGGAAGGTGAGGCCGAGCAAAAGGAAGGCAGAACCAGAGGCTCAAGAGCTAGGGAGCTGGTGCCTGGGTCCCCAGGAGATGTTGAGGACTTGAGGGGAACAGTAGCAGTGTCTAAGTGGGGCAATCTGCTGCTTTAAGTGATCGTGCATGTGCAGAGTAGGCAGGACTTGGTGACCTGACCTATCGGGCTTGCCTGTTGAAGATGCCAGGAAGACTGACACCCTAGATAAGGTACAGACTTCTGGGTTTCAAGGCTGGGCACACATTGACGCCTTTACACAAGATGAAGGTATCAGCAGCCTGAATGAGCTCAGCTTTGGCTGTGCTAGATTTAAAATGTAAAACTGGGTGCCAGCCTCTGAAACCTGTTACAGAGTGATCTATATGCTTAATCCCTCATGCCAGCCATGTAAAGGACTAATGTTGAAAGCATGGTTTTAGCACAAAGTATCTGTGTGGATTGTTTCTGTCCTGCTGCTAGGCTGTCTCTATCTTGCCTCCAAATACCCCCTGGATGAATTCCCCATACTCATTCACAAGCACCCACAGTAACTGACAATTGATTTTCATCACAGTGTAAAGGGTACGGTGGTCTTTCTACCTGGTTCACCCCCACTCTTTCCTCTTCATGTGCTTCAGACTCCAGTTTGAAGGTCTTCTCTGGCAAGTCTCCCTGATCACATCAAACGGGTCTGGGATCCCCTCTATGGCATTTTGTGCCATATTACAATAAAACATAGATGTGTTTTGTTCACAGGTATGGAGGGCATCCACATTTTTCCTGTTACTGCTTTCTGATGAGAACTTCAGCAGAGAGTCCTTCCAAAGTGAATCCCTCACTGGAGCCCTTTATTATTCAGTGTGACACTATTGTTAAGCCCTCTAACTTACTCAGGCTTTCTCTTATCTCAAAAATTAAGGAAAATCTGGAGAGAGGGAGTTGCAGCTTGTGGAGAAGTAGGAGCAAGCCGAACACATGCTGTCACTTAACAAATTAATTGTTTACTCAGTAACAGGCAATTCTGTTAACTCTGGGAAGAGATTCAGTTTCTGACTCATGGGTGAGGAAGCGCTTTTGAAAACACAAAGGATCTTAAAGAACCCTTTCGAAGGAAAAATTTCTTCACTATCCAAAGGTATAGGCAGAAAAATGTCGGCAAAGCCCATCTTAAGTGAGACATAAACTTCAGAAGGGAGGCCAGGTGTCCATTAGACGCCTAACAGTCAAGTTGAAACTTTTTGCTTTTTTGGCATTCTGTTTCTAGAGCTACCTACAGGTTCTCGAGAAACCACTCTAGACAGCAGGGATGTTAGCTCCCTCTGGGACTCACTCTCCACCTTGTGGTCACCGAGAGCAACTGCAGAATATCTGTGCACTAGAATATTGTTTTTTGTTGCATTACGCGATTTTTGACCAGGTTTTCAAGATTTCTCATTTGCATTTAAAGTTCTTCTTTAGGAATTTGCAACTGGGGGAAGTTGCCTTTTTACAAAGAAAAAAGCTTGTTGCTTAACATACATCTGCATAAAGTTTTTAATAAGATGATTATGCAAAAACAGATTCATAGATTATGTATGTATTTTTTTACTTAAAATAAGCCAGTAGATAAGAGAAATAATGGACAAAATGGATGTATAATTAAAAGCATAGAAGGAGAGTGATTATTTCTAACTCTCTACTTGTGAAAGGAACAATTTTATAGCTGGGTGCTGAAAAACAATCACTTGAAGTGATCTTAACATACATTGACAAAAATTATTCCACCTTTCTTTGTTCTTTTTTAGGGTACAAACACTGAAATTAGATTTCTTTGAAATATAAAGCCCTGTTGGGCTAACATAACCACCAAAACCCAGTCTGTTTTCTTACATATTTATACATTTTATTATTTGGGGTTTCCTTTTGCGTATCAGACCCGGGACTTAGGGAACATATGCTTTCTAGATAGCACAGAACCTTGATGTTACAAATCCTGAGTTTAAGGTCTGGCAACCATGCCACCTCTCCCTGGGGGTCTTTCATGATATACTTACAGATGAAAGTGAGCTATCTTGACACCTCCATTTTTTCCACTGCTTTAAAGAAACGATCACATTCATACTTTTATCAGTTTTAGGAATTCATGATTCATTACAGTTTCCTCTCAAATTTTGAGTCCCTTAAAGGTAGAGACAGTATGGAGAAGGGACATAAAGCTGGAGCTCGTGTTTGCCATAAATTATTTCAGTTAATTCTTACAGCAAATTTATCAGGTAGAAATGTCCAAAAGTCTGTTTTAATGATTAAGAAACCTCCACTGGATGCTATCTTATACTCTTCTACTCCAGTGGCTTCCTAGAAATACTGTCTCCCCCTGATTTCCTGCATCACACCTACAAAGAGTAGACACCCAATATGTTCACTAAATAGGAAAATACTCAGAGGAGCAAGAAATGTACTTACAAGACAATTAGATTCCCATGTTTTAATGCACACCTTGTTTACCTTCTAGGCACTGCAGGAAATGTATCTGCTGCAACCACATTTAGTGACTGACCACACAGGTTCTGGGACATGATACCAGGCAGTTAAATGTTACTGATTTTGTGTGCATTTGCAGGTATGTGGAATGTCAATGTCTTCGGTGTGAATATATTCTGTCTGCACGAAAAACTATTTTTCATTCCTTGGGGATAACAGGGATCCAATTACTGTGAAAAATGAAAGAAAGCAAGCCCTTAGCTAGAGTCCTGGGCTTTCAGATACTGACACTGCACTATTTCTTTTTATCTAAGCTGTTGCTTCATATGCCATTTTACTAAGACAATGGGAGAGCTAATGGAACAACGTAAACGTCACTCAGAATTCCAATTTTGTATTGAAGCAATTGCTGTGGGGGGAGGGGGAGAAAGAGAATGTATTCAGTATTTCTGTTGAATAAGAAATTATTTCTGTTGAACTTTAGTAGCCTCAGACCTGTTTTATTATTCAAAGGAGAGGAGGCACAGAACTGCCTGGCAGAGCAAATTTATGCAGGTTCAAAGGTTTTTAGGAAAAAGAGACAAGAAGTCAAAGAAACTGAAAAATTTAAGTTCTGCTTTGACTCTCCATAGAAACCCAAAGTTTCTATTTAGTTGGTGTGAACAATACCATTCAAAATCCAAATGAACAGATTCCAATTTACAAATAAGAGCCTTGGCTTCTCCTGTATTCCAAAGGGTGTTTGAATACCTGGCTGTGGCATAAAAAAAAGTGACATTGGTTGCTTCGTTGAATATCCACTAATACATTTTTTAGCACAGGTGTGAGAACACACTGCTGGAAAATATACTGCAGGCCTCCCTACCCCCACCTCCCACCCCTGCTATATGGGGAGAAAGCAGAGTCAATAAAGCATAAATATATGACCTATGACTTAAAAAAAAAAAAAGAGAGAGAGAGAGACCTGAACCTGGAAAGAAAATAAAGATTTCTGGAAAATTAAACAGCTATATAAAAAAATCAGAGCGTATTACAATTACAGGGAAAGGACTACCACTCTACTCTTTTCCTGACACCATGGCAGTGACACCCAGGGAGTAGGCTGTTCTTTGTGACCAGCTTTATGGACACAGGGATGGTGACATGCCACATGATGGCCAAGACAGCATGTGGACCTCATGACTTAGTGCACTCCGTGCTCAGGCTGCTTCACCATGTAGCCTTATCTTTTCTGAACATCTTGTGGGCACTTTAGATAATTCTGTGTACGCCCTGGTCTGCACTACTCCTTTGTCTTCAGTATCTTTTACCCCAACTTAAAAAGAAATCATCCAGGCCTTCCCTGGTGGTGCATGCAAATGTTTAAAGCACAGCACTATGAAGCAATCCACAGCCACTGCAGCAGGAGTTCAATCCCCGCCTTTGAGGTGACCCACATGGCATGGCAGACCTCTCCTGTCCTGCCTGCTGCTCCCCTCAGCAGTGTACTTTTTCTATCTGCCTATTCTGCTTCTCACTCTGTCTCTGATGAATCATCCCCCCATCTATGCCTCTGGCCCATACCCCAGTTCTTGTATGCATAAATAAATAAATCTTAAAAAAAAAAAATCATCCTTTAAAGTTCAATGCAAATACTGTCTGTTTGGTGCAGCCTTTTCTGAGCTTTCCAGGCAATGCCAGCCACATTGAGGGGCCACTGTGGACTCTAGCCAGGCCCGAAAGTACATGGCCCAAAAGTCCTTAATAATGCTGGTGGTGCCAACTAACAACACTGGGTGTAGGATCTATGAGGGTGTCAAGTTTTTGAGATGCAAGTTGGGGGAGGGGAGAATCAGGCTCCCTTTTTACCACCTGAATCCTTATTCATGGAAAAAACCTAGAAGTTACTGTTGTGTCCAGCAGTCACCCCACTTTTTCCTGGGCATGCAGCAGCATAAACATAACTGAGGGCTCTTATAAAGGGGTCAAATTGAAATGTGTCTTTGGGGAAACAATGTCAAAATATTATAGGAAAGAATAGGTGGGTATGAGCATGCCAGACTCCTCATGAGCCAGGCCTTACCATGATCACTTTCTGTCCCTGAGCGTCCCCAGTAGCGGCGCCTCCTCTCTGGGCTGTGTGCGTGTCGCTCGATGACTGCAGCTATAAAGCGAGTATTGCTGACTGGGAGGGAAGGCAAGGATGGTTAATGTCACTCATACGCTAGTCTTCATTGTATTACACACATCTGGTCTTAGCAGCCTCAGGCTGAGTCATAGCTTGGGGGAAATTATTCTTTGGAAAGCTAAAATAGTATTTTAAAAGTTCCGTGGATTAAGAAAGCTGATTTTAGAACTGGGGCATAGAGTTTCCCAATTAATATCTCCTAAATGCACCAAGAAGATCTGCTCTTTCAATGCTAATGAAAGTCACTTTTGATGAAGAAATGCCCTTTTTTACCATTAGTTAAGGGATCCAAAAAAAAAAAAATGCAGACCTGAAGATTCCCTTTCTAGAATAACTATGCAGGAAAGTAACAAGCAGGAGAAATAACAGGGAGGAGTTTTAGGCCAAAGTACTTAAAAAAAAAAAAAAAAAAAAAAAAAAAGAACATCATGAACTCTTTCAAGATTTTCTAAAACAAAGCAAACACCTACACTTACCCCTACCCAATATGGGGGATTAAAAAAAAAAAAAAAGCCTGTCATGTCAAAGCTTCTTAAATTTTAATACAAGCCAAAAGGATATAAGAAAGAATATTTATTCTGGATTAGCCTCCTGCTGACACATTCTGCAGCGAGGCAGCTTGAATACTCACTGATGCCTCTGTCTTCATGGCTGTCGTCGTCCCTTTCATCTCTGTCATTCTCCAGGTTGGACATACGCACTGACATTTCTACCCATCATTAAAAAGAGAGAAACATGACTATTTAATCAAACAAAATCACCCACTTTAATACCCTGCTGAGTGCTTGTTTGATGGCCAGCTGACAGCATTCCATCATGAACCAATCTTATCTTGGTAAGGAATGAACTGATGTTCCATCTTTTTTTTTTTTTTTTTAAAGGAGGAGGGAGGCAGGACTCAGAAGAGAGAATAATCATCAAGAGAGGCATCTGAAATTGAAATTGATTTCTGAAGACCGAGGAGGAAAGAAGTTGGTTGGGTTTAGTGGAACTTTAATCCTATACAAACTTACCTCAAACAGAAGGAAGGGCATCAAACCATGCTTTACTATGTGGATAAAAAGGTGTGACACAGCCCTAAAAGGAGCCTGGCATGAGATTACACTGGAGGGCAGTCATCTTCAGCCTAACCAGCCTTACTCAGGGAAAAGAGCTTTGTGTTATCCCTGTTTCCACGTCAGGCAACACCACCCCAGGATCCCTCATCAGCACGGTGGCTGTGGTGAAACCTCCCGGTGCCCAGCTATCATTATGCTGCAAGGCAGGCTGACCACGAGGAACGAGCAGTTAGCCTTCTCTCCACAGAGATCAGGTCAACACATCCCTGGGAGCTTTAAAGGAGGAGAAACATGGCCATTAAATGGTTGTGTCCCTTACAAACAGGCACACATACCACCGTTAACACCTGCTCGGGAGGCCATGGTTACAGAATCAATCATTTTGTACCTGACTACAGTTACTTATCCAGCTAGAAGAGACTGGATGATTCTTGGGATGTGTATTCATTCACACATTATAAAAATGGCTGCAATGCAAAAGATTTATGTGCTTGCCACACCTGGGGTGTCCTTGGGTTGCCTATCTTTCTGGGACAGCAAAAGCAGCACACTGGAGCTCAGGGAAGAACAAAATTTCCCACTTAGGATCCCAGCTCCCCTGCACTGGCTTCTCTAAAGGCTAATACTGTGAAAGAGGAGAACAGATCCAGCAATTACTAGGATGTCAAAATGGAGCTTGTTGGGTTTAGGCACTAAAGAAGACGCGGCTGGCCAAAGGAGGAAAGCAGATTTTGGGGACCTGGGACCCCTTTGGGGTTGCTGACAGTGGAGTATGTTCTTGTTAGGTGTCGACAATTGGCCCATGTTCTTCTGGCCCAGGAAGTCCAGGGAGGCTATTGCCTCCCAGGGGGGCTGGGGAACACTGGGGGGCTCACCTTGGGCAGCGAGGGGAGACATGTGCTGGTGGCTGCGGCGGTGGATCTGGTGGCGGTAGGCGTATACTGCGAGGACCAGGACCATGATGCCTCCCATGATGCCTCCAGCAACGGGACCCACAGGGGCGCTCTTGATCATGTTCAATGTAACGACTTCATCACCTTCATAAAAGAAACAGAAGTCCCTGGTAAAGTCCCCCCAGTGTGGTAGGAGGTAGGAGGGGCTTTGAAGCTAAGTGAGAACACAGCCACCTTCAGCTTTCAGTTCCTTCCAAGAAGATCCACCAGATCGTGGATCATCCACCAGTCATCCTTTTAACCCCATGGTGGGGGGCAAAGCAAGAGCACAATTGGCCAGGACTGGTAAGACAAGAAAGTGGATGAGGATCACTTTCACATGCAGTGTCCAGTGTGAAGAGCCCAGCTCACTGGAGTGTGGGAAAATCTTAGAGAGAAGCCATGGGTGCAGAGGTGGGGGCAGTGGGGCTGTCTTGGGGGCCATGTGACTGCACTAACTCTCAGAAACATACTGAGAAAATCTTAGAGGAGGGAGGCAGTATTTCTGAGGTCTTGTGGTCTGATCTCAGGGGCACAGCTCCCACAGGTATCCCTGTAGGCCACCTTCAGCTGCTCTGGTTGCAAGGTGTAGCTATGGCTTCTGTTGATCCCAGTTGCTGATTTTTAGCCACAAAGGTTAGGAGGGAGGACCACAGCAGGGAATCGATGTGTAGGGGTCACTTCTATCCATCACAGACCCTGCTCTTTTGACAGCTCTGACTCCCATTCAAACAAACTCCACACTTCAGTCACATGGAAATCAGCCTTGACATTTCTCAGAGGAGGTTTTATGGGAATAAATTCCAGGCTTGCAAAATTTGGCAGGACAGATGGCTGCTCACTCTGTACAGAATATGGAGCCAGCTTTGAAGGTAATTATCTGCCGTGGGTTTGTAACTAAAAACTAGTGACAAAGGAATCAAGGAAGTAATAGGAATGTTTTCAGATGTCTGTCCCAGCACACAGGCAGGAAAATGTGTGTTCAAGAATCAGATTATTCTGGGTTCCCAACAGACATACCTATTGCTCCCATATCATCAACATAGGGACTTTTGGCACCCACAATTCCCCCGAAGCATTCTTTCTGGGGTGCACAGTAGGATTTGTCCAGGTGAGTCTTTCCATCACTGTCCACCATGCACCACTCACAGTCCAGCACACCAAAGCAGTCCCTGCAGAGAGACAGCTGGTGAGGATTCTGGAATGCAGTGTCCAGGGGGGAAGGGGTGGGGAAAAGGCAGCTCTCAAGCGCTCTAAGACTTCCAGGGTTGTTACTTCTGGGGCTTTAATTTCCTATCCTTATGAAAGGAGAATAGTAACAGTCTGCCAAGGGATAGCTGTTTTACGTCCCTCAACAACTTGGAAATGAGAGAAATAAAACTGTTCTTTTTGAATCAAACCATAAAATCTACACATCATGAATTAAGTGCAAAGTCATCTTAAAAGCCCAAATGGCCCTAAGGTTTGTATGAATTTTGGCCCAACATCTCCCAAGTGTATTGCCATAAAAAAAGGAAGGGAAAAAAATGGTCCAATAAGTTTGGGAAACTTTAGATAAATTAAACAGATTTCCTTATTGCCAGTTTCTTAGACACTTTAATAGGCATTCACTTGCTATGTATGATGACTTTCTGCAGTGTTCCCCAAACTAAACTGACTTTGGTCACTGTGTAACATCTCAAATTCATCCAAGATGCTCTACCATTTCTTTGCTAAAACACACCAAGAACAGAACTGCCTGCTCCTCTTCCCACTAACTAGTTACTCAAATGGCAACCTGCAGCCACAATGAACTAATCACCCCACTCCCACCCCTTCCATCTGCCACAGATACCATTCTCAGGCACTCAAGGGATGAGGAGAAGGGACCTAGAATTTTCATGTCTAAAACTATCACGAAGCACCTCTGCTTTACAGATGAGCTTCAAGGTATCACATAGAGAGCCTGAGAGCAGGGTTTCTGGGCCCAAAGAGTTAGGTCCTGGCCTCCTGCCTAGACTCCTTCCATGACATGTCCCTTTCATAATCCTTTCATTATTTCAATAATGTCCTCATGTACAGAGATTACCAACAGATGGTACAGTTGTCAAGGAACTGTACTAAGAAGAAAACAACTGTGGTGGGTCTGAGGTGTGTGGAAATCAGTTCTGGATCTGAAAAGATCAATACATCTTTTTAAAACATCAAGAATAGGGGTGATGCTGACTGAAACTTGGGGTCACTGTTCTTTAGTAGGTTCCGCTACCCTCAGAGCCACCCTATTGAGGTCCAATAAGCACTGCCCACAGCTTACCCGCTCTCTACCCTCTGGCTGCACCTGCTGTTGACACACTGCTGGAGGACGTCTTGCAGCCCAGGGTCAATAGCCGTGTATGTCACAGGCTCCTGGTGGACCTCACAGCTTGGGTTTCTACATAGGAGCAAGTCTGGAGGTTAGGACCATGTACCAAGTGCCCTCTCTACACAGCACACCTCAGTCCCTGCAGTGTCAGAGAGTGGATGTGAATCCCCATTGTGGATTCAAATGAAATACTTAAGTACTCTGAAGTTCAATTTGTTCATCTTTATGTACAACTGAAATAATATAAAACAATTAGGAGAACATAAATATTTCAACAAAAGGTATGCATATAATAAAAGTGAATCATCCCCTACTACCCGTCTAAACCTTACTTTTCAGAGATAACCATTGTTTAGAGCTTAATTCCCTTTTAGACATTATTGTCTATGCCAAAACAAACATGTATTAGGATATGCATAGACGCAAAGTGCTTTAAGTTCTAGAGAAGGGAATTGATTTAAATGGTTTAAAATTTGTCAGCTATACAAATAATGCAACATTGTATGAGATGTACCTTCGCATTTACACATTTATCATCGTATAGAATTTGAAAACAAAGGGACTTAATGTGCTCAAAGTAGTTGACACTCAGCAACTACTCAGGAAGGCACTCAGCAAATGTTTGTAAATATCCCACGTGTGTATATACTACATACACTCTCAACCCTGTCATGCCAGTGACATTTAAATCCGAAAGTGGACTTCATCCTAAGGCATTACAGAGTTTGAAATTTAGCTAAAGCAATGATTCTACCACTAGAATAAATTTTCAGACTCCAACTCCAAACAAATTTATAAGTAAATTTATAAACCAGAGCTTATATAAATAAACACATTATTATTTTTACCGGTTCTCGGCATTGGTGAGGTTGCCAGTGCACTCATTCACTTCTAAAGGGCACTCACAGGGACATTCACATTCATTTTGCTCCATCCTGAGAAGAAAAAAGAAAGTTACTATCCTGAGGCTTAATTACAAACTATGTATTGTCTATTCACCAAGGGCAATAAAATAAGGAAATCTTAATCGAGGTAAAAGGACAACGAAAAAGTTAATGATCAAAGGTCACCAAACAACTCCTCTTTGGACAAAGCTTCTGCAAGCAACACAGCTTGAAATGCTTCTGTAATCAGGACTTTCCTTATCACCAGGAAACACCCCAGCCCTTTTTATTTAGTAGATGGCAAACAAAGAACATGACCTTGGCATGTTTACCTGTGACAGTTGAGACAGAGCCGGTCGACCATGCTACAAGCACAGAAGGCAAGAGAGTCACACGTTTCATTGACGATGCCCACGAATGCATTGGTGCCAGGGATCCTCGTCAGCCTGTATTTGGAGCAGTGGCTGCCATGGACAAGGTTTGTCAAATCCCCCTAGAGGAACAATCTTGGTTTCAGAAGCGACAAACAGCAATGCAAAGGCTCACACCTACTACGGTTGTTGTGACCCTGCAGCCATTTGCTGGTGGTTTACAATGCAACTTTACTTCTGACTCCAAGAGTAGCGAGGAACACATCTGTGTGATAGTGTGTAATCACTGCTAAAAATCTGGAAAATTATTCATCATCCCATCAATCGGAGAGAATTCTCACTTAACAATTGAGAATATTTATCCTTTTACCTACCTTAAACAGATAAAAAAATTATAGCCTTTTGGGTAATTTATCTTTTTAAACACAAGAATATATCATGCAATTGAAACAAATGCACAACAACAACAAAAAAAACACCTTTCAGGAATAGCTTAAAATTATGAGAAAATAGTTTGAAACAAGGAGGTAGTTTAAAATTTATTCAAGGTAAAAGTCAATCCACCAGAAAACGGGTATTTTCCTCCCATTGGAGAACAGGTTCTCTTCCCTTGAATAATACAATTAAATAAGAACAAAATCCTCTCTAAGAGGCCTGTTTTCTGCTTCCAGAATATTTAAACATTTCAACTAAAAGCATCCTTTTCTTCATTCTGTAACAAGAAAACGTGGTAGTTTCCTGAAATGCCTGATTGTCTACTGCATTAGAAAACCAAAGATTCAAAAGTGGTATTGTAAAGTTGAATATGTTTTAATTTTTCTGTGTGAGTGGCTTACGTAGCAGGTAAAATTTTTAATCCCATGCCTATTTCCATGCTAGTCATCCCTGATATAGGCATGGTGAGGATAACCCTAACTCCATGAATCAAAGCACTAGATAGTTCCTTAGGAGGTCTGGATGGATTTTCCCATGCCTGAAAGATCCCTACCTCTACAATAAGGGCAATAATACAGGCTTATCATCCTGCTGGCTGCTGTAACAAAGAATACTCCAATTCCACCACTGAATGACTTGGGTTCTTAAGCAGTTATTCTAATTCATATTCAATTAGTATTTGAACTTCTCAGAAATTTTCAACCTGAGGGAGCTGTCGGCTGAGGGCTCAAGAAACTACTGTACAAATGAGAGAGGACACACAGAGTAAGTCAGAATTTCACAGGCTCACTTGCCACATCACCTGGCAGCTTCCTCCCAGAAGATAAAATCTCTTCTATCCCCCTGGACAATTGCTTGTGCAATCGCTTTACTTGATACTAAGCTGAAGATGTCCCATTTAACTCAACCCTTTAAAGATTAATTTTCAAGGATAAGTTTGCAGCATATTCTAAACTAAAAAAAGGAAATGATTTTTGGATGCTGTGAATGAAAACTGTGATCTGGCAGGACAGATGACGACAAACTGACCCAGATAGACCTTAGGAATTTAAGGAGACAGAGAACTCCAGAAGACAGGAGGAGAGGGCCACACTATGTGGGAACAGACTTCAGGGGACATTTCAAAGGGCTAAGATTGTGTGTGTGTGTGTTTTTATTTATGCTTACAGAACTGTGGTACAGGCCAAAGGTGTGGTGGGTGAGAGGATTCACCAGAGACAGAGTGGGGAGCAGAACAGGAAGATTGACAAAATACACTCCTGAGGGGAGCAGCGGGTGGGTCAGAAGAGGTCTGTCATGCCATGTGGATTAGCTCCCTGGCTGGGGATCCAACTCGTGCTGCAGTGGCTTCAGAGAATTTCATAATGTGGTACTTTAATCTGCTGCACTACCAGGGAGAGCCCATGATTGGGTGTGTTTTAAAATGAACAGAATCAACACAAAATACCAAGTGTGACATTTAAAATATTCATTTCTGCCCTCGAGGCTCTCTGTTCCACAATTGTGTAGTCAGGAAGCTGCATGAAGGATCTGTCCTATCATTCGATAATTCTAAGACATTAACCATTATTCCATTTCATATGCCACTACGGGGGGTGAGGGGGTGGGACATGAGTATTAATTAAGGAATCCACTCACCACAAGGCTAGTGTTGAATTTATAAAAGCGCTGGACTGTCCGGTCACTGAAGCTGTTGCACAGGTTTTTCTTTACAAAGTTGGGGTGGTTCAGGATGTCATTGGCTACAAGGGGCTCCTAGCAAGGTCAAATGGAACAGAAGGCATGTGCCATGGATTAATGAGCCACAAGCTGCCAGGCAATGAGCTATCAGGGGAGCAACAGATACCTTGTGGGTGATGTGCTGCTGTTCCACAGGTGCATGTCCTTTGGGGTCAATCAGGGTTGGGTGGGCCACCAAATAACCTCTGTCCTCCATGATGAAACACCTGCACCAAAACAAGTGGCATTCTCATACACCTCAACTGTTTTCTATACTTTAAAGTGTTTATCTTGCTACTCTGAAATGAATAGTGTTTCTCTCAGGTTCTGAACACATATTTACTGGGAAAGATGAAGGCAGGCTGGCAGTTAGGTGAACAGAGCATTATTCTTGAAGTGGAGGATCACCTTAACACAGTTAAAGTGAGTGAGTTATTATGCCTGATCTGAGGTGGTAGCATAATTCACACATTTTGTGCCCATCCAGGGCAAGTACAGAGACCTGAAGGTCTTTTGCAAGAATATGTAAGTGGAAAATATACTCTTCTTTCAGAAGAGGGAGACTCTAAAGGAAATGGTCTGGCAGATTTATAGGCACAAACTTTAAATCACCCACTTTTCCTTTTGATAATAAGCAATCACAAAACAACACTCAGGGGACATACAAGACTATCACCTGAAAATAAGTAAAGATAGAAATGTGCCAATTAAGACTAAACTTTGCTATTTTATTCCACATTCGTTTCAACAGTTTGTAACCCTGTACTTCCTTATTAAGGGCCAGTGGGAAATATAGCACTGATGTGGACATACTGGTCAGGAAAGTGAAATAAATTATTTTAAAAAGTGGACTGCATTGAATCATACATAGAGTGAGCTTGCTTTGATCAGACAGGTTGTTTTTCAAACTTTAGGTGGCAAAATTTTTAGTTCCCTGAGTCTCTTCCTGAGGAAATGTAAAAAGCAACAGTCTAAGCATCTGAAAATCTCATGAAGACTTTGCTTTAAAACTTACTATCATTTCAGTAAAAAAGAAAATTATATTAGATATTACTGATTCTTAACATTGGCTTTTCAATCAAGAGTGAATGTAAAAATTCCAATATTCAGTTAACACTAACTATCGAAAGCACTACCCAAGAATATCCAAGATATGGGATAGCTCTAGTTAGTTACTTCTAGAGAAATAAGAATTTTGGGAGAATTCCAGGACACAATTATATTCCTTGTAGGTATCATACATTACATGTTTGATATCTGTTTACATTATACATGGCATGCCTCTTAGAAAAATGACAAAGATCAAAACCCTCTATTTATGGAACACCCAGGTCATGGACTTTATTTCTGGTCTTGAATGCGGCAATATGGCTGTCAAATCACCAGATGCTTGACATCATTTTCTTTGTATTTTACAATTGAAGAGAAATGGTGAGTGGCAGGGCTTACCTTATTTTGTTGCCACCATCTTGGTTACAAACAGGTAGCAAGTCCATCAGAACCTTGTAGAAGTATCTAAGTGTAAAGTCAATTCCCATCACGGCCACAGTATGCCCGGAAGACAGCTGTGTACTTCATGTGAAAAGATCAACAAGAACAAGAGGCATGTTTTATTTAAAGGTCAGAGCTATGTCCATCGTAAGGAAATTGTAGGGTATTAGAAACACATTCCCACTGTTTCTCAGCACTTTACAATCCACTCTTTGAAAAAAATGATGAAATGATGACAGTATAACCTAACATGGATATTTAATGAGAGAAAAATTAAAGTTAAGAAATAAGATAGAACTTCCTAAAGCAGACCAATTCAAAACAAGAGCAGCTGTGGAACATGGCTGGTCCTGACTCCAGATGTTCAGACAGCTGTTGACCTATTCTTTGGCAAGAATATGGAGCCTAGAGAAAGGCATGGGGTGGAAGTTTGGATGCATGATCACTAAAATTCCTTAGCAAAATAACTCTTTAGACAAGAAACCTAAGTGATTTTCTTAATTATTTCCTTCATTTTATAGATAAAGGAGCTGAGAATTCAGAAAGGTTGAGTGAGTGGTTTAAGGTTATATAACACTTTGAAAAAAAAAAAAAGTCCAGTTTTTATTCTGTGATACTACTCAAAACACAACTAACTTTCTAGAATAAGCCTCTCCTGATTCACAAGTTATTTTAAAATATTCCTCTCAAAAAGAGGAGTACCAAAGAAGACAAAGAAGGAAGTTTAACATGGTATAAGATTTTAGCTTTGGAATCAAGTGGATCTGGGGTCAAATCCTGACCCAACTGGTTCCTATATAAGTCCTGAGATGCTACTTACTTGTTTGTAGCCTCAGTTTTCACACCTAAGAATGGGGTAATAATAGTACCCACTTAATAAAGCTTATACTAAGATTACACGAGAGTGTGTTTCAGTGCTTGGCAAGCTGCCTCTCATGGAGAAAACACCCAATTAGAAGTAGTTACTCTAGAGGATTTAAAGCCCAGGCCTGGACAGAAAATGAACTTTTATTTTTCCCCCACAGAAATTACACTAGGAGAAACTGCTAGATATAGCTACAGTATAGACTTCTCAGTGAACAAACCTAGGTTCTTACTAATCTATGTTTATGGGTAGTAGGAGGTGCTTGGATTACCTGGCCAATGAACCTTTGTATTTTTGTGGCTGGTAATTTGCAGGGTTTACTAAAAAATGGGATATCCAAGAGCCCATGTACATACTTGATTTCTTTATAAATAAAAAAAAAATGGTGCTGTTATTGACAAAATCCTAGTAAATTGGGCAGTCTAGAAAAAAATTCTCACAGTGAAATCCTATTTTGGAAAATTAGAATTTGGGAGTGAAATTAGCTTTGCCATGTACACAATTGACCCCCTTCTGGTTATGTCAACTTTGATATCATATTAGTTCCTTGGGCCCTGTCTCCTCACTTGCCCCCCTCAAAAGGAAACCCTCCAAACCCAACCACTAGTGAAAAAGACCATGATCCCAATAAAATTTCGATCAGAACTTTGCTACCAAGACTGATTGGCATGGTGGTGGATGAGGACCATGTACACCTCAATAAGAGCTCTTGTTGTTACCAAAATAACCCAGATTCCACTACAAATAATTCTAAGATCACTAGTTCACATAGAATTTGTGCTTCATAGCAAATAATGGTTTGGTTAAGTATCAGTCAAAATAAGTCTGAACCACTCTTGGTTGTCCAGGAAGGAGTGATGAATCTAAATAGTGGTTATTGTTATAATGGTAATCACCTCCATTTACTGAATGTTCACAATTTACAGGCACTTTGTTGGGCATCTGAGCACAGTATTTCAATTATTTTTCCCAGAAATCTTATGAGGTGTTATCATTGCTGGAAAAGCAGAAGCTTAGGATGATAAAATATTTGGTCAAGGTCAGACAGTGAATAATTAGTGGAAGAAGGAATTTAAACTCTCTTTCCAAGTCCAAAGCACACACTCTTAACCACTGCATTATCTTGCTACTTGAGAGCTGTATATCACTCTCCAGACTTTCCAAGAAAGTTTACACAACCTATTCAATTTCCCATGGAGATATGGGGCACAAATTATAGTTTCTACTTTAGAAATGAAGTTAGGCTTAGAATGATTAAGATGTAAACAAGATGAATCATCTGGAATTTATACTTAAAAGCCAGTAGACAGACCTGGTTCTTTTTGCAATACTACAGCAGCCTCAGTTAAAAGATACAACCCCCATTTCTGGGGCAATTTAATTTTGTATTAAACTCCCCCAGCAGACTACCATCTGCTTCAGTATGATCTGCATGCATAAGTAAAAGCATGCCTAGTGCCCAGGTAAGTCTAGCACTTTAACCTGCACTTCAGAAATGTACACTGTTGCCATAGCAACTCATAAATATCACAGGACAATCAAACCAAAGCTACATTTCTAATTACAACAGACCATGCTATTAGCAACACGTATGAGATTTTTCACAGCCAAAAATTCATCTGACCAATCCTTTATTCACCAACTGATTGTCACCATCTCCACCAGCATTATAATTCTTCCAAGAATGTACAGTCAGATTCTCAGCCTACTGGTAGTGTGTATGGAAGATTCACAGCACAGCTACTATACCTGATAAGAGAGCACTGGGTGAGAAAAGCCCCTCCCCAATCTACCATCAAACCTCTTCTGAAAACCCTGGGTAAAAGACCAGTTGAACATTAGCTTAAGTTCTCTCTTCTGACCTGTTAAAATGTCAGAAATTTAAAGCATGAGGAGCACAATAAAACAAATAATTGCCATTTATTTGGGTCTCAACATCAAGAGTTGAGTACAATGCTGAGCAATTCACATGCATGGTCTCAAATTCTCATTGCGTCAGTTCAACACAGTCATCATTACCTCTGTTTTACACTTGCAACTTGAGGAGGCCATGGAACACAATAATAAAAGTATTTGGCTTTATTGAGCCCTTACCATGGCCAGACATGTTTGAAGAGCTTTACATATGCTATTTAATGCAATCCTTAAAGAATCATTTGAGATAAGCCCAAGTAGCCTTCTTTCACAGGTGAGGAAACCAAGGGGAAAAAGGTACTTGCTTATACTTCAGAGAGTATAGGGCAAATCTACTTTTTCAGTCTGGAATCACATTTCAGGAGGAGGACAGATGCACATGTTGGAATGTGAGACCAAAACCAATTGTAATCATTTGAACAAGGCACCTTTGTGGAGCCCACCTACCACTAACTCATTAAATCGATAATGCTTTGGTTGCAAAGCAAAAGCAGCAGGTGACTTGCATTTTAAACTACCCAGCTTTAGTAGTTCAGTGCTAAGAAACATACTCAAGTGATTAAGTACATGGGCCTCCATATTAATTGAGAGCAGATAATTATTCCAGGAATACAAACTCATTGAATCAATAGTAGACAGTTTCATCCCAGATGAAAACTGTCAATTTAAAAATCTAGTTGAACTTGCAGAAGATAAGCACTATAAAAAGTAAGTAAAATAAGGGAATTGAACCAGTTTTTTCTATTCTGACAGTCCATATTACAAACACGCTCATCTGGACTGACACAATAATAACTGTAAATAAAATCAATGAAAATCCTTCTATTCATCCAAACTTCCACCAAAACACAAACATGACACTCTGCCCCTTCTTTGGTTCCCTAACCCCCCAATCGAAACAATATTGGGTAGAAGGAGAAGCTCATGGCTCTTGAAATAAGTGGCTCAGTGGGAAAGACCTGGTGAATCACCAAAGACTCAGTCATGGAGGATTCTTCCTCCTCTCTGGTCCCAAGGACATTTTCAAGAGGCCAGTCGGGCCCATTTCATTGCCATCAAGCACTAAGATCACTGCAGTTCCTCTAAAGAAACATCTTTGTTTACTTTTTCTCAGATGATTAGAATATATGGAAGGGATGACACATCTTGCTATTCAAACAATCGTGGGCGTAAGCCTGACAGATGGTCTGTTAATGACAACATCGGAAAGATCTGCTCTAAACGAGTGTTTACTTGTTTATACGTGAAATGTCATATCATGGAGTGGCTGGCAAAGTTAAGCATAGTGCGCCCCACGAAGGAATCAACATTCGGCTGGCAGCAGGCCCTGCTTTCCATGGAGACACAGGTCATGTTATTGAAATGCCACTCAGAACTGCTTTCCAATCTTGCTTCCAATGCATTCGTGTTAGAAGAATTCTACTGAATGTCAATCATTTGATAGATAATGAGCTCCAGTGGAAAGCATAAAGTTAAGCAAGGAAATCTGTCTCCCATAAATTTTAAGGCATCGTTACAAGTACCAGTGAAAATACAGTTTTTCTTGGTTGCTAGGGAAAAACTGCTATTGGTATAATGAAGGGATTAAAACAGCATGTTCCACTTTCCTTTCCATCCAACATTTCATTGACATTTGTAGCTTAAACCCTGAAACCTCAAAAGCAGGAAATATAAAGCACTCCAAATATATTTACAGTGATGCTGACATTTTGTAACATCTCAGAAAATCAATTTTCAAAATGCCTTTTAATTTTTCAAGAGACAAGGCAAGGACAAAGTAAAAACACTGCCACCTCCTATATAATGCTTAAGAGTTAGACCCCAAAACAAGAGGTAATACATTTGAAGTCCTGATACTTTCTTTAGCAAAAATGGTCAATTGCTGGGGAAAACACTTGTGTAGTGATGGCTGTCAGGTTGCTACTGATATTGCTTTGATTGGTTTGCAACTGGCATTTTCTACAAACTATTCCACTGAGTCACATCATTCATGGGCATCATCATGGCTGCCAAGAACAGGGCCAAAAACTCTTCATGGATTCAGTCATACATTACCCCATGAGACAGTGATCAACTCCATTTTACAGACGTCAGGAAGAAGCCCAGAGAATCGAACATGACACAGTCAGAGGAGACACTCAAACCGCACCTTAATTCATACATCAAAAGCCACTTAGTGCTTTTGCCACTAATCTTTGGTATCTACTGTTCTATTTAAATTTGATATCCTTGATGTGTTTAAGAAATGACTGAGAAAGTGATGAAAAGGTTACCTGGATGAATGAATGGTGTGACTAATTGTCACTACATAGCCAGCTCCTCCCACATCTAAGTAAGGGCCAGTCAATGAAATCAATCCTGGGTTGGCTACTGCATGGAGATACCTAATGGAGACCAAAGAAAGTCAAGTTATTTGGGGTAAATGTAGATTTCTATGTAGATTTCAAAGAAAAATGAGATTGTAAATCTAAAGATTTAGTATAATTCGTGTTTATGTTAGATTAACAAAAGGATGCCTATCTTTTATGTCTGACTGTAGCAACCATATAAGGGGGTAAAGAAAAATTGAATAAAAGAAAAAATAAAAAAAAAGTAAACTTGGAACTCTGTGTGTATGGGTTCAACTTTAGTTGGTGTCGAAGTTTAAGAGGCTCAAAATGAAAGGAAATTAACATGTAAGGTGACAACAAATGTAGTGTCACGTAACCGTGCTCTCTGGTAAGGAAGAGGGGACAGAGAGAATATGTGACTCAGGAATGACTCAGTATGCAGCGCAAGACGAGAAACTCTGTTTTTATGCTCAATTTCCCTTCCTGCTATACTGCCTGCCTACTTTTATTTTTGAAAACCAGAGTAAAAATAAAGTCCCAGAAGTAAAAAAGGACTTTGAATTTATGTGTGTCATTTTCCATAAGGTCATGCAGAACTGAGCTGTAATTTGATGCCATGATCGTGGGCAGTGAAATGAAGTCTGCCTGCTTCGGACACTGCACACAGGTAGGAATCAGCAAACCACTAGGAACTGCAATGTCAAGCAGAAAGCATTTCAATTTCAACGAAGAGATAAAAATGGAGACAAAAGGAAACCCACAAAGCTGTTATGAATACTACATTAAAAAAAAAAAAAGACTATTCAGAAACATGTTTTCACTGCCATGAAAGTCTCTTCTTTAATGTGACTGCCTGAAGTTGCCTTATTGTGTGTACTTATCATGTCTCTCCAGGATTTGGGGGGAACCTTTGATAATGAAGGCCCCTAAAACTCACCATTGTCTCCTAGTGGGATCAAATGCTTTGTCCATGAGGGAACCAGGATAAATTCTGAGGACGCCATTGGGTGTTGCTATGTAACGGCGGACAATGTAAGTGTTCAGGCTACTCATTTCCATTTGTGTCATCCATTCATCTGTGACGTGGCTGGTAGCCATTACTTCATTTCTGACAGAGAACTGGGAAACAAAGGAAGACATAGCAGGGATCCTTTAAGACTCACATGAAAAGAGACTCTTCTCTTACAGAGAAGCCAAGCCCAATTACTTCTCAAAAATCTTTCCACAGCAGATGGACATGGCCAAACTTGGTGAAAACAAAAACTTACTGAAATGTAATCAGTGGATGTGTGACTTACTCAATTGTTCACCCTAGTTAGATTTTCCACTTTTAAAAAGAAAAATCCTATAGTGAAGCACTAAACACATGTATACACACACACACCCCAACACAAACAACTAAATCTCTCCCTTAAACTTCACCATACTTATCTCAACAGACAGTAGGGGCACTTCTTTCCCCTGGGAAAAGTGGGGAGAAAAAGTTTCACTGGTCTCTGAATCACCCACCCTGTGACCCCCCTTGGAAAGCTCCTTTTGCATCTGAGGCCTGAAAGCTACTCTTCATCTGGCCCACAGGGCTTCTTAATCCATCAGAAGGGTCATCGTCAACCAGCATCCCCTGTGCCACACACTTTGTTTTCTGGCTCTCCAGCTGAGAGGTACAGACCCAGAGCTGGGCTTTCCACTTCAAAGGTTCACGGCCAGCAGCCCCTCTCATGCCTGTGGTGGAGGGGGGGGTCACCAGAAGTGGGGCCCCGTGCCAGCACTCACTTTGAGCCCCGGGTTAGCGATGAGGCGGGTGTTGTCACTGAGGTAGGCAGTGTAGTGCTCCACCATGCGCTTTGTCTCGGGTTGGCTGAGGTGTTCGTAGGGGGAGGAAAAGCTGCCAGCAGACAGCATGACGGTTGGACTCTCTGAAAGAGAAGCAGACAAAGCCGGCCTGAGAACACAGAGGATTCATCTCAGGCCCAAAGAAAAGCATCGCCAAGGCTTTGCCAATTTGTCAGCTGTAGAAACTTAAAAGTCTTCCCAAGGAAAGCAAAGAACTCAGAGCTAAAAAGGAAGAATGTTATTCTTTTCTCCCTTCAGGGAGTTTAGAGTCACGAGTGACCCAGAAGCGACACATCTAAGGAATACAAGCGACACGTCTAAGGAATACAAGTGCCTGAAAAAGCAAAGGTGCTTACACACCAGGTTGTTTCCTTAGGGCCTGGTGGCGTCTGAATGCACTGAACATTGTCTTTAAAAATAAACTGGTAGGGGCCCTTCCTGATGGTACAATGGGTTAAAGCACAGCACTACAAAGCTAGCTGCAGCCGGTTCAGTGGAAATTCGATCCCTAGCCAGGGAGGTGATCCCATGACACAGCAGACCTCTCCTGACCTGCCCACTGCTTCCCCTCATCAATCTGCCTGTTACCCTCCCTACTCTGTCTCTGGTGAATCCTCTCACTGCCCCTGGGTCTGTACCCTGGTTCTGTATGCATAAATAAATAAATCTTTTAAAAAATGGTAGCAATAGTTAAAACCATTCTCCAGAGAGGGTCATTATTTGAGTTTGCAGGTACCCTGCCTCAAAGCAGAAAAAAGTGAGGTGCAAACTGTTCCCAGTAAGGAACTAGGCATCAGCTTCAGAGCTCCACTGTGAGACTGTGCTATCTAGCTCATCTACGATTAGCTAGTACTTGAGGCTCCTTAGGCCAGTCAGATGACAGGAACCCCAAGTCAAGGATTGCTTTAAATTCAATTTGCCCTTCCTCTAATGAGATGTTAGATACAGGTGCATGTGTACACTTGTGGGCGTGTGCCACATGTATGCACATGCATGCACACGAATATGTGCACATGTATGTGTGTGCACGTGCATGTATGGTGGGGTTGCAGGGTATGTTTCATGTGTTGGTCTCCACCTCTTGGGAACCCTGAGTTTCTTTGTTGTTACTCTCCCCAGCCCTGTGAAGCTACCTAAAACATAGCTTAATTTCACAGCTGTTCCTTCTGGAGTGGTATGCATTGCAAAAGTGTCTTTCAGTGTTGTATTCTTCTCTGGGTTTTTATCTTAGACTTTGGTGTAGTAACTTTCTACGATCACGTTATTTCTTCAATGCTCTGAAAAACTTTTTCTTTAATTGAAGTAACATTAGTTAATAACATTATATAGGTTTCAGACTTCAAGATTATCCTTAAGTTACCATCCATAACTTTTAGGTGTCCTCAGCAGATGGGTCCAGTAATGTTATATCTCATTTAATTTTCAGGCTCTCTGTATGGGTAGTGTGGCTGATTATTATATAGCTGTATCTAGAGAAGAAAATCAGAGACTTAAAAAGGTTGGCTGCCTAGCAGTATTGCTGTGGGTTTAGGTGCATATGCTTATGGGGACCCCTGGCAGGGATGTACCAGAGAAAGAGGACTGTCCCTGAATTCAAAGTGCTCAGGATCCAGTTGGAGAGGAAAACAAAAATATAAGAAGGACATAATATCAGAAACATCAGAAGGCAATACACTTTAGGGATAAGACAGCTGCAGTAGGGCCAGAGGAAGCAGAGAAGAGACTCACCTTAGGGAATGAGCTTCCAGACTGAGCTGTACAAGGGTGGGGAGGGAGTACAAGACAGACTACAGGAGAGGACAGGACCCAAGGCTTTGTGCACAGATGATAATGTATATATACATACATGTGTACTTAACCGTATTAGATGATGTGCTCTTAAAATACTCCCCTGTCATTAGTGTACTAAGAAAGACAATGTCCTTCTTACAGTTATGAAAGGGAGCTCTTTTGAGACAACATCACCTTGTCTCAAAATTTCCATCACAATGAAACCGAATGGAAACCATTTATTTGCCATCAATTTTCTAGTTCCTTTTTATTATACTGGAACTATGTGTTTTATACTCTTGTTAGTGACTGATATTAAACTGCCCTTGAAGGCTACTCCACATGGGCCTGGGTGAGGGTATGGCTGCAAAGTGCAATTCACATGCTGATGTAAGGTCTGTTGGGGTCACCCAGGAGTGGTCTATTGATCATGGGCCAAGTATTAAGTTGACAAACTGCATTTTCTGAGCATCTTTATAAGGTAGTACAGTCCAGTTGAAATCCCCAGATACAACATAAAATTTTTTCTTAACTACATTAAGAAAAAAAAGGCTAAATTAATTTTAATATCACTTTAACATGTACTCCTTATGAAAAAATAAGTAGGTGTTTTACACCTACAGCAAATCTCACTTTGAACCAGTCACATTTCCAGTGCTTGATACCCACACATAGCAATAGACAGGGTAGCTACAGAATATGATCCACAGAAAGACCTGGGCTTGAGACTTTTCTCATCAAGAAAAGTCTTTCACTGTATTAAGTTTCAGAACAGTGACCTCATTTCCATCAGCAATGGAGGTTAGCTTGCTCATATAGCACTTAAGAAAACAAATACACCTTAGATTTTCAGAAAGCATTTCTTAAAACTATGAATGAAAGGGTGCTGCATATTCTTTTGTCAAAAAGACAAGCCCCAAACCTAATGTTGTGCCTTCTTTGATTGACATCTCTGGCTCTTTTGTCTACACTGCTGGAATGTGTCATAAGAGTGGCCCCTTACTCTGGCTTGCTCTCTTAATCTCATATCCAGGCAGAAACGACCTAGGATGGAATTTAAAAGAAGAACCAAATACATATGTTTTCCTTGGGAATCTAGAAACTTGGTGATGTCTATCCTTGATCTGCTTTCCATCTGTGCTCCTTTCACTGGGTCTGTCGGTTGAGCAGTGATTCTTAAGTTATTCATCTTTTTGAATCCTGAATATTTTCCAACAATGAAAAAGAGGACATCAGTTTTACAGTCTCACGGATATTCAGCTAGGAACTGCATTTTATTTCATCTGGACTGTTCCATCTCATAGAATACTAAGAAAATGTAGAGTTCATCAACTCAAATTTAATTGATTGGTTGCAAAAACACACGCCAAAAATACTTAGTGTGTGTCTGGCACCTGGCAGCGTGCATTAAAAGAGGCGGCATCATGGGATGAGAGGGCCATGAGTCAAATCTCAACCTTGCTGCGTCCTGCGTAACCTTGGGAAAACTGCTAATTTCTGCAAAACTCAATAGCCTCCCCTACAAGAGGCTGGTTCAGAGGATGAATGTAAAATACCTGTTATATAAGTAATGCAAATTCCCTTATGCTTTCTTGCCTATTTCACAGCTCTTTGGGAGAGAGGGGCCTGTGGAAGATGCAGCTATGCTGCATAGCTACCTGGGCTTCCAACCCTCGGGCCCCTGACCACCATGCCATCTCTTCACTGTCTCTCCACACCTACGTACTTGCCTCCAATGGGCCACATCTGTGACTCTCCTAGGTGGGATGTCTTTGGGCTACTAAACCTTTACCTTTCAACAGCTGAAAGTGACGAAGGGATAGGCAAGGCCAACTCCCTTTCTTGAGACTTGAGTCTAGACAAACTCCAAGGTAAAATTTACACTCCAAACTGTCCACCCCTCTGCCCCCCATCACCCCACTACAGGATTAGGCAGAGGTGAGAACTTCACTTAATCAAATTCTTTTCGAAATTTCTCCTCCTTCCCTTACTTTTCCACAGGTTTCTTTTGAGAGTCCATCTGTAATGAACCACCAGCATACAAGCCCTTTGCTCAGTGTCTGCTGGAGAACCTGACCCAAGGCAAGGCTTCACACTGTTTTTACATTTGTATCCTCCCACCTGGCACAATGTACACTCAACATCTTTTTTAGAAAATGCAAACTGATTTTTATGGTGAACTGCTATAAGTCAGGCCATTAAGGAAGCTGAGAAGTGCAAGGGCTTTACCAAGAGTAGCCAGCTGTTTGAAGTGGAGGCAAGCGCTGGGCTGGCCCAGGAGGTCCAGCCGGTGGTAGAGGAGCTTGCTGCTGGGAACCGTGTTGAGATTCTTCAGTTGCTTGACGGGTATTTCCGGTTGTATCACCACAATACAGAGAATAAAAGAAGTATCCTGTACCTAGAGAAAAATCAATAAATAAAGTATGTCTAATACAGAAAACAAAGGTTCCCAAGGATACTCATTTTCTTGTTATTTTCTGTTACCTGTTTTCAATCCTCATATAGAAAGGTACTTGATGAGGGAAAGATGTTAAGATGGGATAACAGAAAATATCTTTGGCAAAAGACTGCATTTTTATTTTTTTTTCTGATCAAGTGAAATCAATGTGTGTACCTGAAAATCATGGAGCTAATGAAAGAGTTAGAGAATAACTTGCAACAGTGACCTTAACCCTCTTTTGTTTCTTTAAGCTAGTGGATACAGGCTGAAACACCCTAGAAAATACAACACTTGTTTCTGTTTGGGTTTGAAATGCATTTTAAAATATATAGATGTTTTTGCAACAAAGTGTTCTGAGGACTGCCTATATTAATAGCTTATCGTTAATCTGCACTTTAAGTCAGGAGCAACCTGTGAAAATCTAGGTTATTCATTCCATCCCCAGCTAATAGCTAACACTTTTTTTCTTGTTTGGAATGACCAGGATCTCAGATTTGTGAAACTCCTGTGACTTACTCATAAAGCCTAACTTGTCATTGCAGACCAAAGCAAGCAAACTGTAGCTTAGTCTAATTTATCAAGTTCATGTATAGAACTTGAAATATTGTTCCTAGAAAAGAATACTTGAGTAAAATTTGGTGGGAACTCTCCTGCACTGCTGGTGGGAATGCAAACTAGTACAACCACTATGGAAAACTGTCTGGAGGTTCCTCAAACTGCTTCACATGGAGCTTCCCTACGGCCCAGCAATCCCACTCTTATGTATCTACCCAAAAGACACAAAAACACTGATTCAAAAAGATACCTGCACCCCCATGTTTATTGCTGCTTTATTCACAATTGGAAAGACATGGAAACAGCCCAAATGCCCAAACATGGATGACTGAATTAAAAAAATGTGGTACACTTACACAATGGAGTATTACTCAGCAACCAAAGCAAAAAACAAAAACACATGTCTTTTGCAGCAACATGGATGGAGCTAGAAAAGATCATGTTTAGTGAAATAAGCCAGAAAGAAAAGGAAAAATATTGGATGGCTTCTCTCATAGCACGAATATAACGGAACAGGTGAGAAAATAATGATAATGATGAACAGCTATATATATACCAGAGACATTTTGTGGGGGTGGCGTGGGAAATAGGATCAAAAACAGTGGGCGGAATGGGTGATGGGAAACCCAAGGAGATTGCACCTGAAATGGAAAAATGCACAAAATGATGTAAAAATAAACATGTTATAAAAAAATTTTTTTTTGGTGGGAAAAATGTCCACCAAAGAGTTCATTTGAGTAACTAGAGTTACAGGCTCTGGTTGATTTCAACATACAAACATCCAGTAAGTCCATTATATCAGGAGATGGGCAAAATCTTTTTAAAGATGGTGTGTAAGTAACCAATGCAGTTAGACCTAAAGGACAGTTGGAACTAAAGCTTTAAGTTGGAACTGAAAGATCAAGGAGACATTTTTAACAAGGCAGGTTATATTAAATGAGTTTTAGGGTTTATGAGGATGGGTGCAGATTTTTTTTAACATAGTTGCTAATTCGCATTTTCCTGGAATTGCTTTCCCTCACACTGCCAAGGATATTCAATTAGATGAACAAATTTAATCCTCTTCCTCCACCCACTAAATTAGACAGTGACAGGGTGTTCTGAAGTGGCATTTACTATTTCCTTTCTGACACAGTCATCCCTTGCGTTTGTTTTTCTGTATTGCATATGTTCCAAGGAACCAAAAGGCAAAACTCTAACAGAATGACTGGAATATAATTTTATAATTGAGTCTGTTCTGTAAAAGAAAAATAAAATGTTACCCTGAACTTGGAAAAAGCAAGATTTCACAAACAGTCCTTAGCCATAAAGAAAAACAGATTCAATACAGGTCTTTCTATTATGTTCTTTGTTGAAGAAATTTTATGTGCATTGAGGAATTATAATGTGTCTAGCAAGTGCTGTCCATGACTGAGGAGTGATTTTGTTCACTGACTGACTATGGAACTCATATTTAGAAGTGAACAATGTCTGTGGAACAGGAATATTCTAATGTTTCCTGCTAGTCCACAGTTCCTTCTGTCACAGCATACAGCCTCCTTGAAGGCTTGAAAGTGGGTTTGGATTATACAGTGCAGTTAAATAATCTCTTACCTTTGCTCACATAATCTCTCATTTTATATTTTAATTATTTCAGTGAAATAATCTATCAGCATCTGCTTTTATCTATGGTTGTTAAGTGGTTTAACTATTATCAAGATAAATCTATTTATATATTCTATTCTATTATAGTTAACAGAAGAATCCATTTTTATTCCTTAGGGCAAGATGAGTACCTACTCACTTCCCCCAAAGTAACTAAAGAGCTTAAAAATATTTGTTCTTGTTGCTGGGTAACCAGGCAAGGCTTTTAATCTTTAATCTCATTATTTATGACCTCCAGTTTTTCATTTAGTGGTAAGCTGCTTGAAAATTTTAGATCTCTGGCAAGGTTAACACTTATACTTGAAATGAAGACATGATCACATCCATTTAGTGAAGTATAGAGGCCAGAAGTTACCAGTATCACTGAAGAAAAACTATCTTAACCGGATAGTATCTCTTCCTAAAATGTTAACATTGCTTACACATATTCATCATTGTTTCCTTCCCCTTTTAATGGCAATAAATAGGAATGAAGATATTTTCCAGGGATGTATTGCGTTCCTCTCAATCAAGATATGTACCCTGAGAGGTAAACAATCTCCAATTTCAAGTAATAAGAGTGTATTTTCAAATTAAAAATTCTGGTGTGTGTGGCCCATCAGTGTGAAAATTAAACAAAATTAAGTCATTCATCTTCGTTTGAAAGTTATGTAAATATAAGGGCTGATTGTGCAATCATTCCCCAAAGAGTCCTGAAAATGAGCTAACTCAGAATTTAAAAATAGACTTTCATCTTTCTTGAATCTGTAGTTCTCAAGCAATATAACATCAGTAGATTTAGGTCTATAAACATAAATGTCTCTAATAGTCTTATCATTTTTTTTTTTTGGCTTGCATTTTAGTTACTGCTGTTGTGTATGATGATACTTAAGAACCACACAGGGTCAGAGAAGAATCACTGGTTATCCTGAATTCCTATCATTCCTATACCAGACACAGACACACTGCATCGGGCTGTTCAACTGTCTTTACCACTAGGCTAGATGCTCTATGTGGGCAGAGACACTAGCAGCCTTTATCCTTCCTAGTTCAATAGGTAGTTCCTTAAGGGAAGAATGAAAAGATTCATTTTGGTATCAACAGGTCAAACACCAGAGAGGGCTTCCAAAGAGAACCTCAAATATTGGTGTATTTTAAAGACAGCAATTAAAAATTGGTGTTAAAAACATTCCTTTGTAGGTCAGTTACAGTATTTAAGGCTTCTTAATAGCATTGCTATGCTCTACTGGGAAGGGGGAGTAAAGGGAGTAGTCAAGAAAAATAACCCAAATTATATGGACAGTGCACGAGAGTCTATTTCTCTTTGTTTCTTTGGGACTCACTGTCTGAATGAGGTATTAAAAGAAAGCTGAAGAGGGTGCACAAGTTGTGGCCAAACTGGTGACTCTGGATAATCCAAGTTCTAATCAAAAACTCTCTTCCTTGGACAATGTCAGTAGAGTGTATTAATGGGAGACAGTGTAAAGAATTCAGTTTGTATAATGCAATACTACATAGCCATTAAAGGTTCATGCACATGCTTGAGTGCACACATGCACACACACACAGACAACGTCTAGATCTATTCATCTATCTAGATAAAACTAGAACTATATATGCCGGTGTGTGACTAAACACTTTCTGGGATTTGGTCAAGGTTTTTACTTCTGGTAAAACGGAAGGCAAAGAGGGGAAGGAGAAAGGGCACCGTTTACTTCCTATTTTATATTGTAACCTTTTATAGGGTTTGACTTACATCTTGAACAAATATTGATTTTATAAGCAAAAATGTTCACCAGTTATAAAACATTATGGTCATTCTTCTTTCTCCAATCACTTTCAAAGTGATTAGTGACATTATCAGACCTAAAAGCCCCAGACTTCCCACAGACAGGAGCACTACACCCCGTATTTGCTCACCATCTTCCAGGCATAGCTAACATTGTAGGCCTCCTTTCCAGTTTCCCTCAGCTTGTTGATGTGCCAGGACAGGGAGGAGTTCACAGGGACTGCGATAATCTGGCTGCCCAGAGGGAGGCTGCATTGGCAAACAGAATGAAATATTTGGGGCAAAAGATAAAATTAAGCACTTCATTAAAGGCAGTGAAGAAGCTGTGAGTCAATGACCACCTCTTGATTTTAAAAAGCAATGAAGCTCAATACTTTTGAATGAGATCATGTTAAGATCTTGAATTTTATAAAGCATTCTGGCAGCTCTGCATTTAACACACACACACACACACACACACACACAATAAAACTAAAATAAAACCTCAAAACCCATTCCTTATTTTCCACCCCTGCCCCCATTCTAATTCTTTCCAGAGACTAACTTGTCTCAAATCACTCAGTCATTAATTTACAACCAATGAACACAAAGACCCATTTCTCTATAGGTTACCATCTGCCAAAATAATGTATCACTGTTGGAAAAAATCCAATCTGTTCTTTATTTCATGAAAAAATGTTGTGTATGAATGTGCTGTCAACTTGGAATGGACACTACCTTTGTCGAGCAATTTTTTTTGGCATGCTGTGGCGCTGGTCTTCAACTTAACCTTTCATTTTGCAAACATTTTTCAATGTGGTAAAATGAGAATATCTTTCAAAAGTCAGAAAACATATCTGATTTTACAATTAAAGTAGATATGAATGTAGAATTTGAACTCCAAGACACTTTTCCCAATGAAGGTTCTGTTATACAAAATACCCCAAATTTGGCTACTTATGTAAAGTAGCCTTACTATCTACCTACTTACCTACCATACTTTTGATAATATTAAAATAATTTATATGCTTATTTCGTACTCTATAAGAAACACACTCATATTTGACCTCGATGGTTTCTCAGAGAAAAACAAAACACAGACTTCCACCTTTTCGCCTTACCTCAGGATATTTTGACGAACCAACTCAAATTTTGGGATATTTTCATAGTGAATGATGTCAGTGTGAAGGGGCGGTTCTGAGAGTAAATATGGTCTGGTAAGAGATGGATGCATAAGTGTATACCCTGAAATAAGAAAACAAAAACATAGGTTCTGACAACACATTGTGGGAAGCACTGATGCAAAAATAAAAATGTTAATAAGAATGTTAAAATGTGGGCCATGCTGGAATGGCAGCCCAATACTGAGTGCGTAACTCAATGAAACTTACTTTGCATCAAACACTTGACATATAGAAAGATTCTTAGATTAACAAATGTCTTGTCTAAACAAGAACAAGTATTGGTCATTTGGTTTTAGCTTTATATAATGTTCTAATTTGACCCAAAGGATCATATTCTATGTGTCATGAAACCCTCAAGTCTAATTTCCTGATGTTATAAAAACTGTCACCTACCCATCAAGATAGCAAAGAAACCACCACAGAATTTTTCGATTCATTTTGGCATCTTCACAGTGTCCCACAACAAATGAGCAGTGCTATTCAAGTATTTCCTATAAATACTACTTTTGTCCAACTTTATTTGTTAATATCAGCCTATCAATCTGAGGTTATTTTCTTCAGGTTGCTAAGAAATAATTCTTTGTTATGGTTAATTTTTAGCAGGTTACCTTTGTCATCTATGAGGAAAGTGTAGGAAGCCAAAGAGTCTTGGTAATATGTCACATCTTCAAGGATGTAGGCCAGGTTCACATCCACACCCACAATGCCCAGAAGGAGGTTTCCAAAATAACAGGGTTTACTCACAGTCATTATCAAGCCTATGAGTTAAAAACAAACAAAACCCCATTAGCATTAGATTGGCACTGACCCATGAAGGCTAGTATCAGTTGTCTCCATTTTGCTGGGAAGAAAAGTTTCCTGTGTGATCCATAACCAACCACCATCTTTTCAGACAGCATAAAGTGAGTGAAAGTGTGAGGGAAATGCAATGTTTTGGCAGCTCAAATATTGCAATTTGAAAGGAGGTCATCTGTACACTTTCACTATTTTTTCACCTTAAATGACATGATATTCTAACATGTCAGCACTGCATCAGCAGCCCATTACACATCACGTCATTGCCCAGAATAGGGGAGAATCAGCTGAACTTGAATGACCACTAGGTAAGTGACCTAAAAATTTGGATTCTTCCCCAGCTGGTCCCAGTCTGTATTACACATATACACTGGCCTAACCTTCTGAGTCTTGATTTTCACATGTGTTTGACACATACAGTAGTAACTGCTTTAATGATTTCTCAGGTTTGTCAAGTAAAAAGAGATTATGGGTAAAGAAGTGCTTATGTATTTCATTAATGTATCCCACCTTCTCCTCTACCGCCAACCCCAAAAAGCAGGAAAATGAGAAAAATTTAGAAAGGTACAGGAACTTTTTGTCTGATCATTTAGTATTCTGAACAGCTGAAGGAGACACTGAGTTTCCAAGGGAATGCATGCCTGCCTACTGGCCAAGGGGTTAGCTTTTGTGTGAAGGGCTAAAAGGAAACATTTTGGGTACTCTAAGTCATATAGTCACTGTTGCATATGTTTATTTCTTTTTCTTAAACCTTTAAAGTATAAAAACCAGCATAGCTCACAGGCCATATAAAACCAATAGGATAATTAGGGAAAGGGTAAAACAAGGGTGAGGAGAATGCCCAGCAGGAGAGAACAGGGACTGTGGGTTAATGTGAGGCCTGGAGTCATGGGGCAGCTGGCTCTCCTAGGGTTATGAACTGGGTAAGCTGCGCCACAATTTGAATAAGCCTGCTCATGCATCTGATGGAGCGCTAAGACAAAATCATCTCTAGGATCCACTAGATATTCCATAAATCTCTGACTCAAAGTGAAATTCAAACTAAAAAAGATAGTTCTTCTTCATCCTGTTCTTGTACTTTCTTGCCCGAGCAGTTGAGCAGAATGCCCTTCCACAGACACCCAGGAAAAAAATGTGGAAACTCTTAAAGACCTCTACAAAGAGCGGGCTACCACACAGAACAATGTGATGTTCACACAGTTACTATTGAGGTACTCTCATCACAAAGCCAGTTAAATGTGTTACCTGGAGGGCGAAGTTGATACAACATTGAAAAATTGGTGATAGGTTGCCCAGTTATAAAATAAATAAGTTCTAGAGGCGGAAGGTACTGCATGGAGACTTAGGTTAACAGTTCACATTGTGTATTTGAAAATTACTAGGAGAGTAGATTTAAAAGCTCTTATCACATGAAAAAAACTTGTAACTGGCATGATGGACTGAGCTAAGCTAATGGTAGGAATAATTTTGCAACACACACTTATCTCAAATTGTGCACATCTAAAGCCAATGAAATGTTACATGTCAATAATATCTCATATTTCAGTAAGATAGGAAAAAAAAGTTATGTAGTAGGTATCTATGTACAAAAGCATTCCTTAACTAGTCACCATTTAGTATTCTTTCTATCTACCTACCTACCTACTTACCTGTCTATCTCCCACCCATCCTACTACCTATGTGCTTTTAAGCATTTAATAATAGTATATCTTTAAGGAGGTTTTAAAAATGCATCTTGGGGGTGTTTTTGCTCAGATATCCCTTGACTATAAGTGAGTTGTAAATGATGGAAACAGCATTATGAGGGCCAGTATAGCAAAGAGGTTGTAATCCGTATACCACATCCCCCTGGGCTTTAGTACTAGAATAAAGCCATTTTTATTGAATCATGATGTGAAACAGAATTCTTCTGAGACCACATGCTTATTTCACATTTCTATTGTCCTCTGTGTTGAGAATAAGTCTGGAAGGAAACACAGACTTTCCAATTATCAACTTGGATAAAGATCTTTATCTCATAGCATATTTCTTTCTACACTGAATAAAACCCCCAGCCCCTTCTCTACTTAAAAACACACAGATTGGCTTTTTAAAAGAATTATGATTAAAATACTTTAGTGGAGGGTTTGAACTAGTGATGTAAATGTGGGTTTCCCTAGGCTCTGTGACCCATGTAGAGGACACATCATCTAAGCATTTACAGGCTCAAAAACACAGAGAAAAAAAATTTCTCTACTAGGGGAATTCAACAGACTAGTAAACCAATTATTGAAACCCAGATAAGGATTTACAAAACAGCTCTGAGTTGCAGGCTCTCCGCCAACAGGGAATCAAAGACTTGCACAGAATTTGATTGACAGCACTCAGGGTGGCTCTCTGGGTTGGAGAGGTCCATTTTAGGAAGGGTCTTTCACTACTTAATAGCTACTACTGGTAATAGAATTTGGGTAAACCTCCATCTTGTACAGGACTCAGTTTCCACTCAGTTTGTTCCTTTCACATGTTACTAACATGATTCAACGATCTGTCTTTCTCTTACCAGAGTTTACTGGTGGGATGTGTGCCTTACCCATCACTGCCTGACTGGCTTGGCTGGCACTCAGTCACATTGGTAAAATGCGTGTAAGTTTTTTGCATTTAAAATTTGACATTTTCCTCTAAAATCAAGTAACCTATTTAAAGGTGGGAGTTTCTGTTCTATGCACATTTTGTGGACTCTGCCAGAAGTAGGAAGGATAAAATAATTGAGGTTATGTGCCAGTGTACATTTATAGAAATTTATAGTTCTGCCTTACAAAAAGAATATTTTAACTTAATTTCTAGAAAATACACTGTCTATGGCCTATTATTTTTTATAGATGAGCTTTCTCTGGATTTGTGAGAGCTCCTACTTAGCAGAACATAAAAAATAAGCTCTCATATTGGTGGTCTCTATCTGGCTTATAATTAGCTGCCTCATCAACCTTCTTTGTCAAGGTAGAAGAGAAGGAAGGATGTGGGGAATATGAAACTATGAGGAGGGAAAAGGAAGAGCTATAGTTTTGCTTACTAAGCACATACTATTGATCAGGTATTATTCTAATAGTTTCACATACGTTAGTGCATTAAATCTTTGTAATTGCCTTAAGGAAAAATATGATTTTTTCCATTTTATACACCAAGAAATTGATCACAGGAAGGTTAATTATTTTAACCAATATATTATGGGTAACTTGTATGATGACACCGGGATGGTGACCAGTATACTAATGACAAAAGTAAAACAAGCAATAATCATTGAGAAGTATGTCAGGTACTAACATGTCTTATAAACCTAATAACTGGAAAGCTTTATCACAAAAGGATGTTACCATATTTTGAATGAATGACCAAATGGGACATTATAAGACTAAACAAATTACCAAGTGAAAAGGTAGGATTTAAAATCCTTGCTAATGTCAAGCCTTGACTCTATCCATGTTGCTGTGCCTTTGAGGCAGAATCCTGAGTACTTCTGAACTTGACTCACCACTTGCGATGTTTAGTTACTCTTTAGCTTGAATTCACTGCATAGTTAGGAATTTTCACAAAGGTCCTCATGAGGTACTCATGATGTCAACTGAGGTTAGGGCAATGAGGAAGAAACAGGCCTGGGGATTTCTGCTCTAGAAAAACAGGACTAATGGCAGGCGCTATGCAACCCTCTGACTAGAGAAAAGAATGTCCCTTGCCTGGCCTCCCCAGGCTCTCTAATGCTCACATGTGAGCACCGAGCATCAGTTTAAAGCTCTGTCTTGGTGGTCGCGTCCACTTCTTTTTCCTTTTCCTTTAGCAGGATGTTCTCTCCAAACTCACCATCTCCCATCTCATCGGAGAAAGGGAGGCTAAAGACGGCTTCATCAATCATCCGGTTGGGAAGGTTGGTATAGAACCTGCCGACTGTGGTCTCCAGATTGCTCAGCTGGTTCAGCACCATCATGCTGCCCTTAATCACAGGCAAGGTTGTCCGGTCCAGCACACCATACTTCCCTGAATTCTGTTCAGCCAGATCCCTCAGAAAAGCCAGCTCTTTTAAACCAGTAACCCCATCTGAAATAAGAGCCAAGGGAGGTTATGTTAGGCAAAATGGTGTCTGTGCATACAATTGCCCTTTAAATCTAATAAGGGCATGGAGGTGGTCTTGCAATGCCAAAGTGGTCTCGGTAGGGACAGTCTGGACTTGGGGCACAGATACTAGAGCCTGCTGAGGAACAAAGCCTGAGACATAGCCTTTCGTTAAGTAGCTGAGAGGGCAAAGGAATTCTTCAAAAGGCAATAATGAAAAACACGTGAGTAAATAAAGGAGACCCACTCAGTAAGAATGTGTTCTCCCTGAAAGTTTAATAATAAAATTCAATTATCTTCCTGCATTTAATGTTTGAAAGCAAAAGTAATGATTAAAAAGTATGTGCTTAATTTAAATTAGTAGATAAAGTTGTTAAGAATTTTAAAGCAGCAAGGGTTATCCTCTCTTTTCTTACCTCTTTTCCTATTAAACACTTGCCAAACTCTCATGCAACAAAATGAACGAATTATGGATGTATTTAGTGATGCCTCCAAACCCTGTTTCTTTAAGCTCATTTTAATTACAAATGCTTTCATGCTCGATATTGTTAGGATAATATTGGATTTGATTTATTTAATGTATTTTTTTTTACATTTAGAGGGTTTTAAAAACTTTGCAAAAGATCTAGGCATAATAGGATGTATTGCTGAACAACATCTGTAATCTATAGCACAAAAATAAATTTAATAAACCTTTTTTAAAAACTTAGTTTGCTATTGTTGGCACACAGTCAAAAGGATTAGTAACTGATCCCATATGGTGTCCCTTCGCCCGCCTCTCCCCCCCAGTAAACAAATTGAAATGATTTCAGTCACTACTGAGACTCTTTCAGTGAGTTTTAGAAAGGCTTTGCTTGGAGTTCTTGAACTATTTAGTCATTAAAAAGAATGTGAAGAGTTTGTGGCTCACCTATTGACATGACTTTATCATTCCTAAATAGAGGGCATACAATTCTGGACCGGGAAGTCCATTTCTAAGGCTGTGGCACGATCTAGTGCATGTGACTGCTTTCTTAACACACTGCATTTAAATGACCCAGACTCATGCAATGCTCAAGGAAAGTCAGAACCACATTATTGCTCCCTTTGCAGGACAGAGCTGAGATAGGGGTCTAGCGATACGCTCCGAGTAAAGGTCATGCAGAAGACATGACTGAGCTCTGACCTAATACCCTGCACAGCTACGACAGGGAATGATTAAAAGCAGATTTCTCAAGACAATAAACACATTTCCTTACTTTGTCATGTCATGCATGGCTCTCTCAAAATATAAAAGAAAAATGACAAACAGGAGTATCTGTTAGGCTAAAAAGAACACTGCAGGAAGGAAGGGTTGTCAAGGTTATCAGGTCACATCACTCCCTCTAGAAATGCTATGCAGGGGGCAGAAGGGACTGTAGCTGGGCTCTTCTACCATCAACTTGATCACGCTGAAAAGGTGACCAAAAATGAATGTTGAAAGATTTGAGAGGTGAAGTGAGAGATGCTGAGAAACACACAGAGGGACCAGTGTGTTCTGGCTCGACCCACTCTGCTCTGATAAGGGTTCAGTTTCCTTTCCAGCTGCTGGCTCACTCACTCGATGCTGCAGGCCCACTCCTGGCAGGCCCTACCCCTGACACTGCAGATGACTCACAGGAGCAGCAGCCAGAAAGAGCTAAGACCCTCCCACCGGTCTGCCACACAGTACTCCTAAGCAGTCCTCAGTGTTCTGAGCTTCCAGACTCCCCTGCAAGCTACAATTTGGACACTCTAAATATGTTCATCACTGAACTCTGGGTTATCACTCCTCTTTTTGGATCTTTTCCAGCCTTCCCCATACAAATGCTTCAATTCTGTGATCCATTTTTTATATCAAAACCTCAGTGGCTCTGCATCCCCATCCAGTCTGACCAAGAGAGTAAGGCCACCGACAGCCCCAGTGAACAAGGCTGAGGGCCGGCATCTGTGGAGGGAAAGCAGCAGTAAGAGAGTGTCGTGCTAGATTAAGGGGATAATGGGAAGAAATAAAAAGATGGTTAGAGGGAAGTAATGGGCGATTTTAAAGAATGGCATTGCAGGACACAGCAGGGACACAAGATACCTTGGTGGGGATAAAGGGATGGAAGGCAGCAATAAGCTGCTTGGAGTCCAGCAGACTTTCAAATCTAATGGAAAAGAAACGATCACTTCATTTTATGTTTCCTCACTTCTGCACTCATGACTGCATTTAATTCATCTGCCTTATCTATCTGCCTTTCTCACAAGGTAAGAAGCTCCATGAGGACAGGGACTTTGTATAGCAGAGATCCAAAAGCTAATTGCAGTATACTGTACATGGTAAGATCCATTCCATTCTTTTTATTCTTTTTTTCTCCTCTGCCTTGTTTCCTTTCCCTCCTTCTCCCCAACCACTCCTTTTCTTCCTTTCTCCCTCCAACCCTCCCTTTTTCCTGTTCCATGAGTGGAAGCTGCTAAATCATAGAAAAAAAGGAGCAACAGGAATTGGATTTAACACTGAAGGTTATGTGACTCTCGACAGCTTTGGCTGTGCTTAGTCCTGCACTCAGAATATAGAAAAAGCTAAAACAGGGTTCATGTCTGAGAAGCCCACATGGTTGTGGATAGTTAGTCTCTGAGCAGGGAAGAAGCCTCTATCTCTGAGCCAGGAAGCCACACTGCCTTTCATTCCCTCCTTCAGGGCCCTGAGGATCTGTCATTTACTAGGCACTGTGCTGGAAACAGTACTCATATCATATTTTGTTTATTATCACAGCAAGCCTATGCAGATTGTATTGTTTTAATCTTATGAATGGAAGTGAGGCTTGAGGAGATGAAGGAACCTGTCGTAGGCCACATGGTTAATAAACAGAGACTGGAACCCAGAATCTCTACTCAAGGTACCCTGTGTACCCCACAAACATCTGGAACCCAAAAACATCTGAAAAAGAACCATTCTGGTCAAAATGTATCCCTCAGAGGGTATGAATTAAAATCTAAGGCCAGTAGCACAGAGTTTGCATTGTAAGAATTATCTCCAAAGTAACCTTTACCACATTAAAATATGAGAGCTTGGGTTCCAGGAGCCATGGGGTTCTGCACAGATATCTGGAAGTGCATAGGATAAATAAAGGACTATAGGTGGGAAGCGCTGGTCTCTTACAAAGTAAGAGGATATGGTCACGTTGAAAAATAGAAAGGGATTTGAAGAAAAAGATATTTTGAGAGAAGAACAATGAGTTCATAGGTCAGGAGAGAACAACAGCAGAGATGCTAGAAAACTGGGCTGCAGTAAGCCTGGAAGGAAGGTTGGGTAGCAGAAGGAGAAATAGTATTGCTTCAAATTTGTCAACTTACTAAATGCTTTCACATACCGTTTCATTTAACAGCAACAAAATCAACCTTAATGAGTATGTAGCAAGTACAGGCACTGTCCTGGGTACTACTACAATTCATTTTCCCAGTAAGCCTGCAGACAACACTTAGCTCTCTTATATGTTTTAGGAAGCTGGGATGGAGAAAGTGGCAGGAGAGACTGTGGATGGTGATTCTGCAGGGAAATGTGATCTTCTGCCTTTGCCATACAGAAGAATCTAGGTCAAGTACTTTGGCTTCCTGCAGCTTACACCAATGAGATAATAACCTCCATGCAGTACCAAAATCTAAGAATACAAAAAGCTGAAAAATGGAGCTGTCCAGAAAACTCTGCAAGGTCACCTAGGTGGAGATTTAGAAATGAACAGCTAGTTGGAGAAAGAGATGCAGAAAAAGGGACACCCTAATATATGGTGGTCCCCACGTGCTGACTGAGGGGGTGAAAGGGAGACTCAGGAGGACACAGCTTAGTCGCCTCTTACACCCTTCATCAAAGCCCACCGTTACGGCCCTTTTTTATTTTTTTAAAAAGCAGCATACACTTAGAACTTTCATCTGAGAAAAATCTCTAAATGTTACACACCATTCATGAGGGCGTAGGTGAGAATCATTACGGAGTTGTTTAGAAAGCTATTTTCTTCATTGATGACACGGAGTGTTGCCTTTTTATCTTCTTCAGAAGAGTCCTTTGATGTGATGCCAGCTGACAGGTAAATTATGACCATGTCTGTATCTAAACAAAAACATACAAATTGAATGTTACATTGGATACTAGCGAAAGGCAACAGTTCAGTATCTTTTCTATGTCCCCTGGACATTCCTGCCTCAAGAACTCCCCCCCCACCCAGCACACCATTCTTCCCATTTGATGCAGAGGCTCTCATCTCTCTGTCTCTGCGCCTCTCCCATCCTGCCCTTGTGGGCAACAGTACCTCATATCCAGTGTGAGATAAAGAGCTGCACCTAACAAATTTATCAGCCAGAGGAAGATGCTTTCCTTTATAAGCACCCTGATAGTGTAGTTTAGCCACTCCACCTGTGCTCTTGCCTTTCTAAACAGAGAATTTAGAACCAGATCCTTTCCTCAAGGTCATTACCAGGAATACAATTTTGGGGGGACACTAGTCTTCCATATGGTGATTCTTCCAGGTGCTCTTGTGACATGTGAGGTTATTTGCTTCTACACTGAGCAGCTCCAGAAACATTGTTTTGCTTTTAAAGATTTATTTATTTATGCTTACAGAACTGGGATACAGGCCAGAGGTGCAGGGGTTGAGTGAGGATTCACCAGAGACAGAGTGGGGAGCAGAACAGGAAGATTGACAAAGTACAATCAGAGTGGGGAACAGCGGGTGGGTTAGGAGAGGTCTGCAGTGCCATGTGCTGCAGTGGCCTTGAAGAGCTTCATAATGCAGTGCTTTAACCCACTGCACCACCAGGGAGAGTCCAACATTATTGTTTTTTTTTTAAAAACCATTCAGCAAGAGCAGAGGAAGCATGGAGCAAAGACTGTGCCGAAGTCCCGTGCTGCTTGCTACTTAGAAGCTGGGTTTGGGTAATGTCAGCAGCTTTCTTAATCTCTCTACACTTAAAAGTTCCTTGTCTATAAAATGGAGACAATGATGGTATTTGTTCCATAGGGTTACTGGGAGGTCTAATTGGTTAATTTAGGTAAAGAGTAAAATAGCAAGAGGGTGACAGTGAATACAAGGAAAAAGAGAAAAGGAAACCTTAACATAGGTACAAACATAAAAAAACAAAACCCTCTCTTAATGGTCTAAAGTAACAGCTGGGATGCAAGATTCCAAAGATAGCTAACAGGTAGGGTCACAGAGGCAATATTGCTCAGTATGAGAAACATCTTTCAAGTGGATTTACTTGAAAATAAGAGTATCCTACTGCTAAAGCAAAATATATAGAGATTGAATGACCCCTTTAGTGGAGGGAAGTAAGAAAGCTGGATTTTATAAATCTGAAATTTTTGGAAAGCCAGAGGATTAGAAGGAGAAATAAAACTTCAGCTTAAAAAATACCTAGATGGCATACTGGGCTGTGGGAGGATGACAGGAGCCCAGGGGGTGGGGATGGTGTGCTGACATGCATATGAAGAGGTGTCATGTCAACACTGATACAGAGAGCTCTACTCAATGAAGCTGGAGGCTAGAGAACGGTATGCATGTAAGAGTCCGCAAACTACGAAACCCCATCAATCTTACACACGCCATTTCCAGTGAGCTGAGGGGATACATATAATTCTAGAGGTTATACAGGTAGCTGTGGCACAGAACTGGGGAAGTGAGTTGGGTCTCCCCATCAATACACTCTGGCTGCCCCATTTTCTGTTGTTTCCTAATCAACCCCATTTGTTGCTCTAGCAAGCAACTTCTTTTGCTGGGAGTCAAAAGCTTAATTTTTTTTTTTTTGCTTAAATAAAAAAAAGAAGACTAAATAATTTATCTAATATATGTATATTTATGATATCCTACAAAGAAATTTATTTTTTCATCGATAACTATTTATATGTTATAGTTTATTTCTTCAGGCCCTTAGTGTGGTCATGTCAGTGACATGCTTTCTTTCCAGTTACAGTGCTGGGCAACCTCAGGGTTGGCTCTCCAAGACCCCACCTCCTGGCAATTAGTTCCTTGCGTAGCTGTTTCCCTCAGAATCCATGTGTGGGCTGCATTTAAGGGCTAGGTTTCTGTGTAAAGAATGCAGTAGAGGTGATGGGATTTCAAGAGGTTGATTAGGTTACAAAATGATGACAGCTTCCACCTTGGGGGTTTTCTCACTTTAAGGAAGCCAGATAGCATGCCATGAACTATCCTATTGAGAGACAAGGCATTGGGACCCTTAGAATCCAATCCCTCTGGCAACCATATGAATTAACTTGGAAACAGATTCTTCCTGAATTAAAGTTGGAGATGACAGTGGCATTGGACAAGTTTGATTATAGCTTCATGAGACACCTTTGGCCAAAGGCACTTAGTGATGCTGTGCCCAAATGCCTACCCAACAAACACTGTAAATAGATAATACTTACTGCTTTAAGTCACTGAGAATTGGAGTAATTTGTTACCCAGCAGCAGGTAATGAATAGTTGCCATTTTAAAAATCACCCTAACAGCAATGAGGATATAAACCTTAAACTTCCTTCAGTTTACAAATTTTCATTTTAGACTTTGAAGATTTTATTATACAGATTGAATAGTTAATAATGTTACATCAATGCTGTACATGCTATGACTAAAATGACTGAAAGTGGATATGTGAGCACAGGTCCATGTGTGGAAGTCATCACAGCCTTCTCTAGCAGTCACACACACTCTCTTTGCATCCTAACAGCAAGACATACATTCTGGAAATACTCCTCATTCAGCCCAACTCAAGAAAACTTGAGTTTTTTTCCTATTCTTGAATTTAAGACCTGTCAAATTTAGGCTGATTTATTATTTACATATTAGGATATTCACTCTCTATTCACCCAGTTGGAGGAATTTTAAACTGTGTGATTATCAGGCAGGAGTAATTACAGGGACTTGGGGGCAGAACAAAGCTTGAGCATATTCCTGAAAGAAAATGCAATGGATTCTTCCATTTGGCAAGTCCTTAAGTCACCAGCATGTCTTGAGGTCAGTATCAAGAGGGACAACTGTCTTGGAGTTTTGTCCATGCAATTAAATCCCCATTCTTAACTATCTTATCCTTCTGCTATAAAATGACTTACTAACCAATGACATTCCCCCACCTCCCCCATGGAATAAAATCCAGAACAACCCAAATGAATTGACAGTATATCTCTACTATGGAACTGAAAAAGAGCTAGAGCTGAGTAAGTTTCAGATTTTCTGATTAGTGCAAAGCCAACTAATATGAAGCCACAATGATTTATGACAAGTAGCTTTGTTTATATGGCAACTAATGTGGTGCACACACTTAACTTTCATGCACAGACTAATCCTTACAGCAATCTTATAGATAAGTTTAGCTCATTATAATAACCCTTAAAACAGTGCCAGCTACATGGCAGATGCTAAAGAATTGTCTGTGGTATGAATAGAAGTGATGACATACAGTGTAAACTCCTAGGAGGAATATACAGATCTCAAATTATTCTGTAGTGAAGGTTACTAGTAGGTAATTCTCAGGTAGCTTTGGGCTTGGGGTCAATTTGGGATATCTGAGGTATCTGCTTAGGTTAGCTGGAGCTAGAAGCTTTGTAGGAAATGGAAGACAAGGACAATGATAGGTAATATTTAATTAATATTTATGATGGAACCCTGGGTCTTATTATCATCCAAATTTGCAGATGAGGACACCGAGTCTGGAGACATCAAGTAATTCACACAAGTTCACAGGTTAGAAAAATTTGAGTAGAAATTTGAATCCACATTGGTTGAAATCCAAAACCCATATAGCTATAAACACTCTGCTGTTGTCTGCAAGCACCTCATACTTCTGTAAAATCTCTCCTTAATAAACTGGACAGTGCTAATTCCTGAATTCTTTCTTTCTTTTTAATGCAAACTAATTTGTGTTCTTTTATTCCTCCAAACTGTCCAAAGTTGTAAAATGGAGGTCTGTGAACTAACCCCCAGAAATTTCACACTTGTCCTCAAAGAGACTCCTTTGAGCATTTCAAAAATTGCACCACCCAAATATGTACAAATCTGTGTTAGTCACTCTTCTTATCTCTTTTATTTTGTTTGTTTGCTAACATCAAGAAAAACAAAGACAAAACTCCAGAAGAGAAATGCTCCCCATCAAAACAGCCTTCTGCTCACATGCAGTGTAGGAAGGTTTGTTAAGAAGAGGTTTAAAAAGATCTCTGTTCACAGTTTTAAAGCTGGAACAAAAGTCAACATTTGAAAAATGAAGGGATTTCACATAAAAATCCAGATTTCTGGCTTCTCTTGAAACGGACAGTCTGGCAACACTAGGCAGGCATTCCTGCAAGGCAACAAGAGGCTGAACAGAAGAGCAGCTGCCCTCCGGATGGAACAAGTGCTCCCAGCTGACTTTACTCTCTAAATAATCCACCTCACCTTCCCTCATGCTGGCTTGACTCATTCACTGCCTGGCCACTGTCAGTTTATTTCTCTCTGATATTTAACCAGTAAAAGAATCAAAGTTGGACTTATACTCTAAATACGGTCTGACAGCTGAAGAGTCAAGCAGAAAGAATGCTTCTAGCAACAGTGCTTAGTGGTACTGGCTTCTGCAGATGAACAGCACCAACAAAGTAGCCAATGCATCTTGAATTCGTAAGGTTTGCCTTCTCCACTGGTCATGCGAAAGAAAGGGTGGATAATGCTGCCCTCAGCCATGCTGTAGTCCTGGTCTGTGAACTGCAACCACTTGTCAAGGCTGGTAGCAAAATTCTACATGATTCCACACCCTTGTGTAATCTTCACTCTTGCTGTGAGCGTGACCAGTAATTTGCTTCTAACAATATAGCAACAGAGATGGGATATTCCTCCTATGATTATGTTCCATAGATTACAAAGATGGAGGGATGTGTAGATGTAATGAAAGTCTCTAATAAACCCATCCCAAGAGAAGGGCCAAAGAGGATCAGTCTGGTTAGATCAGATGAGTCATTTAAAACAAAGTCTAAGCCATCCCTGGAGTCAGGGGCTTGAAGAAGAAATGTGCTATCACTGGTTTTAAAGAAGCAACTGGGAGCCTCTCTGATCGCCTAGGGGTTAAGTCTTAGTGCCACCACCACTAAGGCCTGAGTTTGATCCCAGGATAGGGAGGTGACCACATGTGGCTCAGCAGACCACTATCTCACCCGCTACTCCCCTCATCAATGTGATTTCAGTAGATCCATAAGTTCTGCTTCCTACTTTGTCACTGGTGATCACCCCCTGAATCTCTGGCTTACATCCCACTTCTTCTATGCAATATATATTATAAAAGAAGCTACTGGACTGAGTTTTGTAGGAAACGATTTCAGCCAGCAGACTTGGAAGAGGACTCTGAACTACTGATGAGAAACAGACCTAGCTGACACTAAAGACTGAAGCCTTATGCAGCCCTAAGTGAGGAACTAGCTGTGCCTGGACTCCTGGCTCATGGAATCTGTGAGATAATAAATGCATTCTGATTTAAGTTTGTGGTAATTTGTTACATGGAAATATAGATCACCTACCAGCATTAGTTGCAATATTTATGTAGCTTCCTACCTTTCAAAGGCCTACCACATGCAAGGCACAAAGCTCTGCATTCACAATGCCATCTTAGTGTGAACACAGGAGCACTGACAAGCTTGAAAATAGATTCCTTAAATTTACCTCAATAGGATATGTTCATTAGCCAAAACCCCCCAAAAAACCCCAACAAATATTTTTTTTTAACATATAAAAGGGAAAAATGACAGTTTCCTTTTCAAAGCATGTGTCCTATTTCAAATACCCTTTACTTTAGCCTGTAACCTAATTCCAGATTTTTCTTAAATACATGAAAATTAAATTAGAGTGACTTTGTGCATTTGAAGGGCCATGCTCATCTAAATAACAGCTGGCTAGAAGAAAGGAGGATCAAGGCAAGGATCCCTGCTGCCCCTGATAGGCACATGCGCACAGCAGACACCAGCTCTAAGGCCATGAGGCCAGGCTGACAATTAGCATTAAAAAGGATGTGGCTTTTCCCCTGGGAAATAAATGGGTATGTTCTTAATAAAGGGGCAGAAGAAGATGATCTGGGAGTGAAGAGAAAGACTGAGTATCTTTGATTGAAATAGAAGAGAAAAACCTTATAAGATCTTAGTATTAAATGACCATCAAGGCTACACATAAAAATTTTGTGCCAGGTCAGTTTATAAAGAAATCCCTCTAGTTAGGTTCATGTGATCAATTTACAATGCATTCTAATTGCTGTCCTTTATCTATTAGTTTATAAATCCTCTAGGAGAATGTGCTTACTTGCTTGGAACTTTGTGTTATTGTTGGTGCTTCGAATCAGCTGAAATGCTTTTTGGAATCCCACTGCGTGCTGGGTGGGGCTGTCCAAAGCCTTGATGCTGCTGACAAAGGTGGACATTTTCCTTTTTGTCTCACTGGTGGCTGGAGACAGGAAAGTCTTATAGCATTGGTCTAGTGAGCAGGTCCTCACGGTGTCTGCCACAGTCAACACAGATATCTGGAAAAAGAAAAAGAAAACTTGTTAACCAACCAGGTAAAGGTTGTTTGTTTATTTTTACATTCCAGAAAGCCCATGGAGTGAAGGTGTATAGAGCAATTTCTGAGAGTTTAAAAACAAGTGCCTGGAGGCATATCTCTATCAAATTTGAAGATGATTCAAGATTGGCAAGGTAGAAGAAGTAAGACATGGAGTATCATGAGGATAATGTACTTAAAAAATTTTTTTTTACATCATTCTTCATTTTATACATTTTTTCATTTCAGTTGTAGACCCATGGGCTTCCCACCACCAATTCACCCAGGCGTCGCGTCATTGCCATAGTCCTGTGTCTTCGTCCCCCCCCCTTTTTTTTTTTTAATAAATAGTAGTTTATGTTTACATCATTTTGTGCATTTTCCATCTCAGTTGCAATCCCCTTGGGTTTCCCATCACCAAATCACCCATGTGCAATAGTCTTGTGCATTTACCTCCCCACACTGTTTTTGACCCCATTCCCCACTCCACCCCCATAAAATGTCCCTGGTATATAGCTGTTCATTATTATTGTTATTTTCTCGCCTGGTCCATTATACTTCTGCTATGAGTGAAATCATCTGGTATTTTTCATTTTCTTTCTGGCTTATTTCACTTAGCATGATCTTTTCCAGCTCCATCCATGTTGCTGCAAAAGGCATGGGTGTTTATTACTTTTGGTTGCTGAGTAATATTCCATTGTTTATATGCACTACATCTTTTTAATCCAATCATCCACTTTTGGGCATTTGGGCTGTTTACATTTCTTTCCAATTGTAAATAAAGCAGCAACAAACATGGGCCACCTCAGTTTTTAATCCTATTACCTCCTCTACCCCATACCATGTCTCTGGTTTATATTTATTCATTGTTTTCATTTTTACTTTATTACATTTGCTTCTCTCCTTTTTTTTTTTGAGGATAATGTGTTTTTAAAAAGCCATTATGATGCAGCAAAAAAAAAAATCCATATGTAATAGATTATCACTAGTAGCAAGCACATCTGTCTCTGAGGTATCTAGAGATAAGAAAAGCTCCAGCAGCCTTTCCATATCCCTGACCTCTCTCCAATCCTCAGATAAAGTCCAGCTATCCACCAGTATCCAAGCCCTGAACTTCTTCCTCCTCAGCAGAACCTTCAGTGTGAAAGTCACAACTAATCAGAAGCCTTAATGGGAGTTGTAAGGGAGGTCCAAGACAGCTTGTTAGACTGGTTTTAAAACAAGGCTGCAGTCAGAGTTGGCAGCTGCTTCCTTCCTCAATTACTAGAATGAAAGCCAAACTCCAGAGTCATTTCAAAGATGGATTAAAACATAGATGTCACAAAAGTGATTTTTAAAAAGGTACTGGACAGAGCCCTCCCTGGTGGCACCGGGGGTTAAAGCAAGCACTAAGAAGCTAAAGCCACTTCAGCATGAGTTCAATCCCCAGCCTGGGAGGTGACCTACATGGTGCGGCAGCCTCTCCTGACCTGCCCGCTGTTCCCCTTAGCAGTGTACTTCTTTAATCTGCCTGTTCTGTCCCCACTCTGTCTCTGGTGAAGCCTCTCACCTCCTCTGCAGTCTGGCCTGTACCCCAGTTCTGTATGCATAAGTAAATAAATCTTAAAAAAAAAAAAAAAAAGGCACTGGACAAGGACTCAATGGCGTGTCTGTCACCAGCATAACGGTCACCTTATCATGTTCGTCGATGGCACTGAGGATGACCTGGGCAGCATCCTTGGCGATCTGAAGTTGGGTGTCTGTGACGGAAGCCCCATGGTCCAGAATCACTACTATGTGCTTTGACTGTGGCCGGACTGTAGAGACGTAGATAGGTCTAGAAGGAGAGAAGTTCTTTGGGGTCAGTCTTGGTTTAGGTAAAAGGCCTGAACCAACACAGTTCTGAACGCCAGAGTGGCAGGTGGCTGGTGAGGCTGCTTTTCCCAAGAATAGCTCAAGCATGCAGAGATCAGCACAGAGGGAGGACCAACAAGTAATGCACTGAAAACAACCTCAAGACAGCAGTGTGCACCTGCAAAACAGGGATTGGTTAACTTCTAAAGATTAAAACAATTGCACTTTAGGTGCAAGTCCTTTGCGAGGCTGGCTTTTTCTGCTACTTGACAATTAACCCTCCCCACCATGAGTAGTGATACTGCTCACATTATTCATCCTTCCACAACAGGGAGTGGGCCTGGAGGCTCTTCTGTCTGCAGGTTCAGAGCAGAGTGGAGAACTGGGCTCACTGATCAGGACTGGGTCCTCTGTGGCAGACTGACAGAGCGGGTCTCTGCTCGAATGGAGGCAGCTATCAACTGTGAGCCTGCTGAGCAGCTTTAAATAGCAGATTTGGTTTCTCTCTTCCCAGACAAAGGCTATTGCTAAGAGAGCCCTTTCCTTTCTGTACTGAGGCAATTCACACAGGTCAGCCACCAAAAGGCCCCTTATCCGAGCCATTTAAAACTGTGCCATCAAATTTGTCCAAGTCTGTGATAGCTACTCTTCATGCCAAGTTTTTGTTTGCCAACATTAAGAAAAGAGAGGGGAGGGTGAGGGAACTCAAAAGGAGAAATCCCTGCCATCAAAGCAGCCCTCTGCTCATGTGCAGTAGAGGAAGGTTTGTAAGAGGGGGTTTAATGAGGTCTTTATTCACAGTTTTAAAGCTGGAACAAATCAGTGAGAGTTTAAAGAAAGCAAATCAGCCTCAAGAGAACTCTCTCCTTTATTGACACCCTTAAAACAGTAGAGTTTTCTGTGAAATGTTACATGCCAGTTGAGTCACAAAAGCCTGGGCACAAATTAAGAAATGTAGGCAAAGTACCAAAAAAACTAAAAAATCTGGCCAAGTTTACACTAATTGTTCTCAAGCCAAAACTCCTGCATTAATACGAAAGTGCCCCTGAGTCAATACCACTGAGCCAGTAGGGAAATGGGATAAAAAGAATACAGGAAAGGTGGTTAGAGAAATGAAAGAGAGAACAAAAGTAAGGAAATCTGACTATCCCAACACTGACAACCATATCAAATACTGAACTTGTTAGGTTCTCCAAGCTAGATGGGAGAATCTTCTTTAAAATGACATCTCCTCCTTTCCAAACCAACTCACATAAATGAAAAAGACAGTGTGTTTGTTAAAAACTGTCTTAGTAGGACATATCAACCATGACATTAAATGTACAATCTGGGAGCAGTCCTTTGCGTGCTGGTATCCCCCAGCTCCTTTCTCCTGTTACTGTTTTCAAATCCCCAAATCCTCCCCACCTTCCCACTTCAGGGATGTAGAACACTCACAAAAGCATCAGAACAAGCATTTGGACAAATAAAGACATGGGAAACCAATTGTGGAGAAGCCCTTAGCTTATTTAGCCAAAGAAAGAGACATGATACAGATTTAGGGTGGAGACAGATGAAATCTTCCAAGTGTAGGTGAATGATGATTTTTGAAAAGGTCCCGTTTTTCCTTTTGGACTAAGCCTCAGAGGTGGCTCATTAAAACTACATACTAACTAATCTTAGAAGCAAACAAGAATAAAATGTTTTATGATGTATTTGGTGTCTCGTGAGAGAGAAGCTAGGCTAGAACCCAATCTGGCCGCTAATTCTACCTCCAAGACATTCAAATACTCACCACAGGGCTTCGGGGGAGAAAGAAAGAAGCCTAGGAATAGTACGTAAATAGTCTTCTTGGGTGAAAATTCCAGATACAATTCAAAGATAGAGATACATTAAGGTGATGGCTAAATTAGACTTAAGGAAAAGGCATCAAAAGTACACATCTTGCACTAGATGCAGAAGTATTGGCATCAAACATCTGATACTACAAAAGGGAAACCTTGGGGAGTCAAAAGGAAAAGCATCACTGAAGGGGATCTATGGACTGATGAATGTTGTCAACAAATCCTGACCCCATTACTGCCCTTCTGGTTAAGTGGGACAGTCTCAAGTTCCTTCCATAAGAAAAGCAGGATATTAGTGATCTTATACCCAATAATTTTTTGAACAACCTTAACTCTCCCAATAGTGGAGATTTGCATGGATACTTCTAAAGGATAACCAAGCATACTTTCACAGAAAGGAAAGTTGAGAATTATAATCTCTACTCTGAGGGAAGCAATTAAGTCCCCTAGAGCTGTACTTTAGGGAAGGAATTAACATGTATTTTTCACCCAACATGTCTGAAGTTCAGAACAGTTTAGGTGCTTCAAATAATTTAAGTTCTCTAGTAAAGACCTTGTTTTATTTGACTTGTTAGATTGTTCTAGAAAAGTTCTGTGTTTAATCCTTTGCCCTTGCCTAGCATTTTCACTTTCATATGCTGGAAAGTAAAATAATTTCAGAATAGGTACACATTTTTAAAACTACAGATTATTACAGCCATGTGTGTAAGGAAGTGTTTACATTTTGAACAGATCACTCATAAGCAGTAATTAAACCTTTAGTAAGCAAGTCAACATACCTACTTCGATGCTCATAACTGCCCTTACACCGGAACTTGTGTGCTGGAAAAACAGTAAATATTCCTTCTTCCGAACTGAAATACTGCCACTTAATTCCAGGGTTGGATTTCAGGTTGTCTGCAAGCACTGGAGGAGTGGGGAAAATGAAATATAACCACAAGTGCACAGGTGCAGGCAAGCTCCATCCTCAGGCATCTGTTTTGCATAAACTGCTTGTAGTAGGAAGAAATCCCTCTAGATAGAAGGCTGTAAATTTTCTACTAAACAATTTCTTTCTGTCTCTTAAACAATACCCCATGAACAGAAAGCATAATGAAGGTTTCCATCAAGTGAAGTTACTTTTAATATGCTATGGTGACATGGTATGTCCTGGATTATTTTTCCATCATGAATGATTCATTTGTGCTAATCTCTCCCTTCCTTGGGCTGGTCCCTGTTGGGCCTGCAGACACTTTTCTGGTCTGAGATATATTCTGCAACTGCGAAAAACAGTGATATTAATAGACCTGATCTCCAGAGGGATAAGACCTGGAGACCCTGACCTTGCTTGCTTCACAGTGAGGGAAACAGTATAGATGGTATTTGAAAGGACAGAGGCACAATCATTCAGTGATACCTAATGAAATGATTCTAATTTGTCAATGCTGGGATACAGGCTTTGCTCTATGTTATCTTATTCAACCCAAAACCACATCCCATGATGAAGATGGGGTTATCGGTCCATCAAGTTTGAGCTGAGGAAACCTGATTAGGGAGCTTAAGTAATTGGTCTTAAGGGTTCATTGGTAAACTGCCAAGTCTTGGTCTCCTGTGTTCTCACATCACGTGGCACTACCTACCTTCCCGTGCACCTGCATCTCTGCCACTGATCTCCATCCTGAGTGAGAGCCTCTTACTGTGAGTGATTCTGGCTTCACAAAGACTTCACAAAGTCTTTCTTACCTCCACTGCCATCAGAGTTCTCTCCCTTCTCTGCTGCCCTTTCAACTCTTCCAAACTAACTCAGTTATGTATTATGCATACACTAGTTGTAGGGTACTGTTTACATACAGCAAGGCACACACAGAAATGCAAAGAGCAAGCCCTAAATAATAACCAGTATACCAGGACAATTAGATGGCAAGAAGTGTTGCAAAAGACAATTCAGTGAAAGGATCTGACCAGAGTCAAAAAGAAAAGGAAAGTGTGACATCTGTTTGACAAGCAGATATATAGAGAAAGCTCTGAATGCCATACAGTGATCCTTAAGTGAGATGCTGGCAAACTTCATGAAAGGCCAGACAGCAAAGGACTCTAACTTTGCCATCTATACAGTCACTGTTATCACTATTCAGTTGTGCCATGGTGGTGACACTGGCCACAAATCCCTGTAAATGCATGTGTGGTGTTGCATCAACAAAAGTTTATTTACAGAAGTCAGTGGTGAGATGGATGTGCTTGGTGATCCTTGAACTTAGCAGTGGGCCCTCTGCAACACCATGGACACAAAACTACACAGGCCTTGAAGCATTTGCAGGGCCCCTCATGCCTACAAACAGTCTGCTCAGACATGCTAAGGGGGAACAGTGCATTCCAGCCTCAGAAGTATCGCAGGAATGGAAATTACTATCTCCAAGTTATTGATGATGAAAAAGGCTCAGGGAAGTTTCTTCACCTGCCTGAGGTGTCAAGAGTAGACAGGAAGAGAGTTAAGTCAGTGTGCGACTGTGATGCCTGTCCCCTCTCCACTCTGCCATAAATGAGTCGCCATCCTCACCTAGACTCAGGTGGCCACACATACCTGACACTGTGGCTGATGTGAGGGCATGCAAGAGGCTCCCTCCCCGCCCCCCCCCCCCATCCATCTCCTGGAGTCTGAAGTCTTAACCTTGACCTCATATTAGTATTGTTCTCCTGCCAACCCAGCAATAAAAAGGCAAGCACTGTCTTTGGAAGTAAAGGAAAGCTCAATGACCTCATTTAACAGTAACATCTGTAACAATAAACAGGCTACAGTTGAAACTATTAAAAGGAGAACCAATGAGAGCAAGCATATTTTAAAAATAAATCTGAATTCATACTGTGCACGATACATTTAGTCTCACCACAAAAGATCACTCCAGTTCCTAATAATCATTCCAGCACTGGAGTAAAAGTATCAGACAAGGTTCCTCAATTCCTCCTGCTGAGAACTCCTCTGGCATCTGATTAAATTTCATCCATTACTCGGAACTAGCAGAAGATGATGGATATGATGGTAATGAGGACCCCAGGGCCCAGAAGCAATCTATCACTGTGGTGTGCTCCCCAGGCAGCCCCTCTCTGACCTAGATGTGGAGGTGAATGAGAGTCCTATTATTCAGGCAGACAGCTCCCCCCTTTCGTATCCTCCCATTTATAACAGTCAGCTAGGTGTTCTGGTCACTGAATAACTTGCACTAGCGTCTCGCACACCCGAACACCTACTCCTTCCTCAGAAATGATGGAAGGAGTCCAGGAAAAAGCTGGGCAGATGCCCAACCTGTGATGCACAGCATTTGGCTTTAAGTGATCAAAGGGCAGGGGCTGTATCTGTCTAAGCTGCGCTGAACACTTCCTCACAGACCCACACAAAGGAGGCAAGAAATGGTTTCTTTTTCTCACTGAAGTTTATTCTTCTTTTAGTGTTATCACCCAGCATTTTGCCTCTTCTAACCTTCTAATCATAATATTGCCCTTTCAGGCAACTTTTAATTCTTCTCTCCCTAGATTTATGATCCACAAGGATGAGGCCTGTAAGATCTGTGTCTGAGTCACCTCTGTAGCCCGGAAACAGAGAACCTCAGTTCTCCCATCAAATCACCCACCCCATGAGGGCTACAGGGTCACCATCTGCAGCACCTATGCTGGGAACATCTGCAGAGAAGTCCTATTACACCACCACTTTTGAATATATCTGTTTGATGAATACTAATATCTTACTTTGCTACAATATCAATAAATACTCTAAATTAAATACAGGGCAATAAGAAGCATAACATTGTTTTAGGTGATTAACACTTCCTTTTACCTGTATCTACACCAGAATACAAAAATAGGTAAACAGGGCCCTCCCTGGTGGTGCAATGGGTTAAAGCTTGGCACTCTGAAGCCACTTCAGCACCAGTTCTATCCCCAGTCAGGTAAGTGACCCACATGGTGCAGCAGATTACTTCTGTCTTGCCCGCTGCTCCCCTCAGCAGTGTACTTTGTCAATCTGCTTGATCTCCCACTCTGCCTCTGGTGAATCCTCTCACTTACCCTGCATCTCTGGCCTAGTTCTGTATGCATATATAAATAAACCTTAAAAAAAATAGGTAAATAAAAAGATAAAATGTCTGTTTCTGTTTCACAGAATTATTCATGTCAAAATTATCCATAGTATATGTTACATATGTGAAGCTTATTGGATGTCAATTATACCTCAATAACACTGAGCTGATAGGTAATAGTGAACATTTATTGTGCATCATACAAGTAGTTTCATATACGGTACATTATTTTCATAATTATTCTGTGAGCTTATTATATTATGCCATTTTGCTGATGCAAAATTAACAAAGCCACAAGGGCAGAATGATGATTTGATCTAGGTGTGTCTATCTTCAAAGCCCTTGCTCCTTCCAGAACATGACCATGCTTCTGTGTCAGTAAATACATGTTGAGTGAATTAATAATCAACAGGTAAAAAGCACAGCGAGTGTTTTTGCAGACACAATGGTGTCAAAATAATCAGTTGTATTAGTTTGTAAAAACACACTGTGGATAATACAGTTAAGGAGACACCTGACAAAAAAAGAAATGATTTCACAACTAAAATAAAATGTAAAGTTGCAGCAAGCATTTAATCCTTTGAGAAAAAACTGCTGAACTGCTAAAATTGGTCCATGTCCTGGGGTTTGACACAGGCTGGATTGACAGGAAAAAGCCACAAAAACAAATCAGTGCTCAGATAGCAGAGTCAACAGTAATTATAGCACTCTGACTGAGCAACAGCCAACAATAAATAGATATTTTAGAATACATGACGTTCTTACGTAAGTGAAAAACTATATAGCTGACAACTCTTAAGTATGCTATACGTGCTCAACAGGTTGATGACACCAGCCATGGGTGTCTGGTCTTTGTCAATCTGGGCAAGCAAGGGAAAGTCACGTGGAATGAACCTCATTGCTAATTTGTACTTCTCATTTAATTCAGGTTAGCATTTAGGAACTAAAAGGAAGATCCTAGCAAATCAGAATAGACCAGGAATAAAAAAAATCATGTGTTTAAATCCCATAAGATCGACAAGGGCTGTGACCTTTTGATTATTAGCCACACAGCATGCAAAGGCATCATGCTAAAAATGAAATCAAACCCCACCACTGCTTTGCTTAAATCCCTTCAGAGGCTTCCAACTGGACTTACCCCTAGCATTCAATCCAAACTTGGTCAGACCTTGCACCCTCTGGGCCCCTGCCTATTCGTCAACCTGACCTTGCCCCTCTTCAACTCATTACATTCTACATCAAGACCTGTTTATTTCAGTTTTGCAAATGTGTCTTTGCACAAGGCAATCCTTAAACTTGGAATAACTCTTTTTCCACATTACCTAGTTAGTTCTTTTGTATCCTTTGGGTTTTGTCTTATACTTTACTTTCTCAGAGACCCTTTCCCCGACTACCCTAATAATGCTTGGTGTATTTAATTTACTTTTGTGGTGGTTTTATGTGTCTCATGCAGAGGAGCTTTAAGTTCCATGAAGGCAAGAACCATGTCAGTTTAATTCATCAGTTCCCAGAGTCTAGTACATCTCTATTTTTGGTTTCAAGTGCTCACTCAGTATTAGCTGAGAACATGAGGGAATGATGACTGAGGCCAAAGCTTTTCACCTCTGTGGTCCCTGAGATTTCATAATTTCCTGATCTATCAAGAAATGGATTTGACAAGGTGCTCCTGAAGAAACCAAAAGAAAAAAGAGGTAAGAGGGCAAGGAATGAAGGCCACTCATTAGGGAGGATATGGATTTACAGCTGGAGAGAAGGATCAACACTTTTAACTGGTTTTGGTCAAGTTTATACAACAGAAAAAACAGGAGGAGTAGTTTCATTTCTTACTGACTTTGAAGCTGAGTATTAATGGTAACT